ACGCACAAACCTGTAATGAGACTTCTAAAAAATATAAACAATATTTAACTCTAATTTCTTGCTTCACACATTTTCTGAGAAAAGCTCCATTTGCTAAAACTCGTTCGTCTTGTCACATTTTGAATTAGATATTTAAGGACGCATCCGACCATTTGGACTGCAATCGGTCTTCTGGACACCATTTCTTGACCATACTCAAACGTTATCTGCCAAAAGACCGACTCTGTAAGGAATATAAAAGGAAAATATATTTCGAACAATTTGTTTTCGTGCTCATCTGGCAATGACGAATTTACCAATTCTGAATTTTGCTTTCTCATTCAATAGCGTTCACTACTGTGAAGTATATCAAAAGTGATATCACTGGTTCCGTAATGTTCATCTTGGTAATTGTGACACGAAGAGAAAAGAGATGGTAAACGCTTTACTCTTGTTTTAGGAGTATCTTTGCTTACTAATAAGATCTTAAAATATTCTCCGAATGTTGCGGTGTTCTTATAGCAGAAATATTTACATTTTTTAATTTTTGGGGTTGCCACCTCCGAATTTCATTCACTTTATAACTGATAATAAACAAATGTAAATTTAACAAAATAAAATGCATGTACTAACGTATATTCTGTTCGTGGAATTTTGTAAATGAATTATTTCAATACTTTCAATCAATTGCCACATTGTAAAACTTACTCCTTTTCATATTATTTTCTTCACACGTATTTATTATGAAAACTTTGAAATAATCGATCTTGTCGCAGAAATTGTCGTTTGAATATAATGAAAACAATTTTAATTGAATTCGAGTACACGTTTTAAGATCCTTGATGAACAGTGGCTGACAGAAAGGAGCCATTAAACACTAAGACAATTATAATATCTCCAAAAATTCGAGATCACAGTGGATCCCGGCTTGACAAAAGTTTTTTACTGTTATCTCAAATAACTTCTTTTATTATGTTTTCAACAACCTTGAGAATGAACGTTGACACACATTCAATTCTTCCAAACACCCATTTACCATTACCGTTTTAATTCAATTATACTTCTTGCCGAACATTCATCAATTTAAATAATCATTCCTACACCATTCAAGGGTACGCTTTCACTTTCGAAAGTAATAAAACACTTTCCTACAATAATTCATCCAACCGTCATAGTTTCAGCCTAAAACGTAAATCACTCACTCCCCCCCCCCCTCGCACTGGCTGTTCCCTCGCTCGTGCAACTCGAAAATACATAACAATCATGCTTAATTTACTACAACTAAACATGTGCGCATTCATACCTTTTTACCACAATATTAAGAACAACCATCAGAAAATAATTTTCTTCAACCAGTCCATATCTCTGGTACACTTAATACATTCATGCCTAGACGCAATTAAAACCAATATCCAAGTTACTTTTATAAATAGAGCGGAGAAAATCTCTGAATCATTTCGGATTAGACAATGGATAGTGAAAATAAATGTCTCCTATAAATATGCAATTCTATGCATTGATGAACTCAACCTCAGATCTCAGACTCAATCGTCATTCTCCGGTGGTGCGCAGCTAAACTATTGCACATTGATGCACTCTTCAATCTGTGATGTAATGTTAAGCTAAAAAAGTCCAGAAAAGTAATTATTTCCTAAATGTATTAAGGTTTGTGGTTGTAAATCATAGCCTTTAGTATTCCTGACCTTCAAAGGAAGCTAGCACAAAAGTTTCATTGACATTGATAAGTACATTTAGAGATTAATGCGTTTGAATGCAACCGTCCTTGTGCCTATAAGTATATAGAGTATAGAATTATTGATGTAGATTACATTCGCATTTAGCAAACCCAAAATCAAATAAAAAACATTCTTTGTGAAAACGACGAAAAACAAGAATCGCAAAGACATCCAAATAAACACCAAATATAATATTCAATCGGACCAAAAGCCGAATTTTGAAGAGTATTTGATTTAAAATTGAAGTTAGATTGTTTAAATGTCCTTTGAATGTACCTTAATACAATTGAGAAAATCTATCATTCGTTCTTCACGATAGACAAATTATGAATAAACTCAATATGGGAATTATATGTTTTCATGTGAGCAAAGAACTTCACTTTTGGTCGCTAGTACGCTCAAAATCAGTGAAATACAATACCTCGAATTCTATGAAAAAACATGTAACATTTTCCTCTCGATTGTATGTACGGGAAATTAGAGGTGTTGGATTTTCATATGCAAGAGTTCTCGCACGAGTACGTAATTGACCGAATAATATTTCTGTCTACTCGACAGCTGGGAATTGGGTACAGAGAGATATTGCCACTTACTCGGGGGCAGACACGTGATCGTGTGGTCATTCTTGCAGCATACCACAACAGCAGCAGAAGTAGCAAGAAACAAATCGCAATGAGAGCACAAGAGCAGACGTCACAGAACCGCACACACGATGCATAATCAAACAAGAAATGGCGACAAATGGCGTGCGCCCTTGGCAATTTGGCGCTCAGGGCTTTTCAATTCTCTCTTGCTTCGTACTGTAAGATGTCATTTTTTTCTTTATAAGCATTAGTAACTCTGCACGAAACCACAATTTCAAGCCTCTGATTCGATAACGGAACCTTTCTCTTTTGTTAACCGCTAGCTGTCAAGTAGAGAAATATTTTTTAAACAATAGTAGTCAATAGTGTAATAAATAATTTTGGAAATAAGAACACCCACTGATCCCTTTCTTTTGATGCCAGGTTGCAAGCTTTGACTTTCGCTTAATCGCCATGAATGGATAGCCAGTATGTTACAAGCCAGGACCAAGCAGTTCAGAACGCGGCGCTAAGCGACCCCCCCCCCCGAACCACCATCGAACACAAAATCGCTGCCGTGACTGCATAGCTTCGTTGCGGTATCAACTGGGGTTAGGCTTCCGGCCGACCAAACCCCGTCGAACGACCAAGCAACGTTATCCTCGAGGAATTCGCGTCACTATGCGAAACTTGTGCATTGTGCGCGAGCCACAGCGGGCCAAACCTCCAGAAACCACGTGCAAATTACGTCGATCGAAGCCACAAGCATCTGCGGTGTTTTGCCTCGTTCACGAAGACGCCTTCCATGCAGCTTGCAATACATCATGTACGTACCGGTGAAATGCAATGTTGCACTCTCCGAATCTCCCTGTTTAAGAGCTGTCATTTTAAAACTCTTCACTCGGCTTACCACCTACATATACTTTGGACTCTGATTGCACCATTGCAATTTTAATGAGCTTAATTAGTGCACAGGGCATTCCATCATTCCTCTAAACAATAGATGCTTCTATTGGATACGATCAAAAGCTTGTTTGAAATCGATAAAGAGCGTTTGTAGATCTATATTATATTCATAGCATTTTTCCATTATTTGCCTAACGGTTAATATTTTATCTGTGGTTCTTCTATTTATTCTGAATCCACATTTGTAGACATCCGGTATTTTTTTCTGCAAAATTACTTACTCTTTTTTGCTCTGATCTTGAATATATTTTATAAACTGTATTTAATAATGAAATGCTCCTGTATAATTGTATACTCATGTTTATCACCTTTTTTAAAAATTGGACATAAGCCCACTTCTCCATTCTCTTAATATTTCCTTTAAATTCCGAATTTTACATATAATATGTAATGCCTTCAATAATTCATTCCCTCCTTTGGATAATTCTCCTATTAATCCCTCTTCACCTGGTGCTTTACCATTCCTGACCAACTGCACAGCATACTGCATAATTGCACAGGGCCCTGGTGAGAAAACTTTGCCAATATTCAAAATGCCAAAAGCCAATAGGAAACTAAGACCTATGCCATATTATTACGCAATTCTTGCTCTAGAAGCAAAAAAAAAAACAACAACAGAGAAAAGCTGATTTTGAGGAAATCTTATTTATATTTGTTTTTTATTTTTATATTCATAGTTGCATTCAAAATTACACTAAAACAACCTGATATTGTTTGAAGATCTAATTTTGAGAAACAGATTTCATTAAGAAAAAAAGTATGTGGGTGTATAAGGGGGTGGGGGTGTCAAAAATTTTTTTTACTTTTACAACTTTCAAGATTTTAGAGGTTTTATTGAAAAAGAAGCCTGCACCTTTTTATAAGCAAACACTCTTCTACTCCAGCAAAAAAAAAACAAACAAAAAAGCATTTGGAGCCATATTTTGGAAAATTTTGAAAATTTACAAGAGCTAAAAATTACAAACCTTTGAGAGATTCAAAAATTAAAACAAGATTTTCATATTCACAAGGTCTCAAGTACAGGTAGACTGAACAAGGAACGTCTATCACAGAGAATGAATGACTTAGACGGTCAGTGAGGAGGGGTTTGAGGAAAACCACTTTTCTGTAACAAGGACTAACAAAACATGGATTCTGACAACACTACACACATGAGAAAGTAATATGTATACCACTTATACAAAAAGAAAAACAACTGTGTACACCCCATAAAATGACAGCATCTTTATCTCTGGAACTAATGTAGCTAGTCATGTCAGCATTTGCCAAATAAAAGAACATCAGATATGACAAATCAGATGTTACACTACTTCAAAATTAATTTTCTCCCTTTGTAGATATGACAGCTTATACCAGAAGACAATCTGAAGATCAGAAAACAATGTTATTCTTCTTTTGAGTTTTTCCCTCCTTTCCCCTCAAACCACCAACTCAGTATTATGGCAACTGAAATCGTAATTTAGTACTTTACTTCACAAATACAGTAACAGTATACAAAATCTTAATAGGAGAAAAAACAGTTCCTACAAGGTAATGGTTAGTGCACGTAATTGCTTAGTAACGTAACCTTCTCCACTTTAAATACAACAAAACACATTTCCATTTTAATTAAGAACTACTTAAGAATTTTAAAATATATCATTGAACTATTATAATTTTAAGGACAAAAGGTAAGGATATTAAGGAAGAAGTCGATTTGACTACACCAGTGATAAAATTGCAGTGGAAATTAATAAAAAGTAAATATATGTTCTTTTCAATAAATATGCTCTTTACTGTCCTAATATTTCACAGTCACAGTTAATCACACACATATAACAAAATAGGTCAGAGAAGGAATGTGTTACAAAGTGTTTATGTATAGAGTTCTAATACTCTACAGAAAGCGTGTATATAGTAGGTCACATTTCATAGAATTAAAAATAAACATTATACTTTCATTTGAAGACTTATGCTCTTGAAATAACCCATTTCCCATTAAAATTAACACTTTGTGATAAAGTTCCCACAAAATGTTTGGAAGTACAGTATTCTCCTCTACTTTTACAAATGATATGAACATTTTCAAAAATGTATTTTAACTCATTCATACAATTCTTACTTTGCACCGTCAAAAACAAAACATGATCACACATACAGTATGAAGACCTTTTAGTTCAATGAACACCAATTGTAATATTTTAATTAAAATTCTATTTTTTGTTCCATTGCTTTAATAGTTAATAGGTTTCCCTTTTCTCTGGTGATTTTACTTCTTTTACAAAAAATATTCCAACTTTCAATTTGTAAATAACCAGTAGCAAACAAGTCCTAAATATTTTGAACATTTTATAAAGAAAATATGACTTGGTTATTTTCATATTCCTTTTCTAACAGTTTTATAAGAAAGTTGTGAAAAACTTGTAAAAACACTTAAGATATCTCTCAGTTTAACATTTTTAAAATAAATGTTATATAAAAATATTACATTTTCAAATTCTAAAAATTCAACTAAAAAAAATGACCAACAGTCATTTTGTCACTTTTCATGAAATTGCATTTCCATTAGATTCCACAAAAATCGATAACATGACCAATAAAGAAGGAAATACCAACAGAAAACGGTGTTGACATGGAATATATCCTTCCATAGAATAAATTTTTGAAACTGTTCAAATCACTAATGAACAATGTTGCAAAAAAGAAAATATCAAAATAACACCAATACAAAAATCCCAGAAATTGTTTCTTCAAGGAAATCCTATATTTAATACATCCAGCAATGAAAAACAAAAATACTCTTGACTAGATGGAAATAGATATGACATGCATTTCCCAAATAAAAGTAATATATTCATTACATTTCTGAGAAATTTTAGACACATTCAGGAATAAGTACATGGTCTTTCATTACTACAGAAATACAAACATGCACCCAGATGTCTGTAGAAATTGTGTTCAAATAATTATTACCATAAAAAAATGCTATGGTACCTCAGGAAACATGCAAGATAAAAGAATGGTTACAAATCTAACTATATCTGAAGCACACAATGTAACAACAAAGGTATTGAAAAGTCTATGATAAGTTTGAACAATCTGAAAATTTATGTTAATGTACGTTCACATTTATTGTTTGCTTAGACATTTTCATCAAGAAGAAATTGCGATAGCACACTAACTATAGTTTTATTGAAGTTAGAAAGAAAAGTAAATGCATAAAAATTAAATATAATTTGAAATTTTGACTATAGCTACACATTAGTTCTGTTTATTTTCTTTTTCACTACAAGCAAAAATTGACTACTGAAAGTGGTATATCTTTACTTGGCACACAAGTATGCAGTCCACAATGTATTTCATAAGCAGAGAAAAATAGAACTATGGCACTACTGTTGAATTACACAGGTTTCATTAATTTTTTTCAAGATGCTCTTTGATTGTATGTGGCTTTCACTGCAGTTATGCAAGCCTGCGGACCATTCCTTCAGTTTCCCATAACAGGAGATAATCCACTAATGCCATGCAGACACATGACTAATTCAACCAAAGGAGGTTTTAAACAATTGTAAAAAAATTATTGTTCTAATAGGAAACAGTATTGTTACTGACAATGCCATACAATATTATATATTTGTTCATTACCCAAATGCACATTTTCTGTACTTTTGCAGCTCATTCTAATCAAAGTTTAAAATACTGGTACACAATTGTATTTTTATAGCAACCATCACATCATAAAATATGTTGAGAATTTATGAGTCTACATAATTCCTGAAGCACCTACATTCTTATAAATGTATCAATTTGCTTCCCCTCATCTCCAATTCAATAACACTTTCGACAAGAAGCAGATAAGTAAAAGTAGAATAAGAAAATTTTGGCCTATTAAAATTTTGAAAATACGAGCATTACATCTTAAATATTTTCAATTATCAATAGGAGACTTCACTTTTATAAATATAAAAATACGATTTTAATGCTTTAGCAACACTCAACTAGTAACATGACATTCCCTGACTTCAATACTTTTCATCTGATCAAGTCAATCAATTCCATGTATGAAACAATCTGTCACTTCATTGTTGCACTAATTTCTACTGGAAGTCAGTGAACATTACTATGCAATTTGGTGCCCTCCTATACTAACAGTTCATTTGTTAAATTATTTTTATTTACTTCCAGTGTCAGTAATAACACTCAGTGAAAACAGAAACAAAAATAATACACAAAGTTGTATTTCATCACGTTACCATCCAAATTATCTAATGTTTAATAGGAAGAGTGCACAAAATGTCTACAACTGAAGAACAAGCAACATTATCAATGTGACAACAACAGTTAAAAGACCAAAATAATTGGTTGCAATAATCAAGCACACTACTATTTACATATTATTTTAAAAATATTGGAAAGACAGACAAGAAAACAATGTGGAAGATACAAGATGTGGAGTTGGAGTGAAAACAAACTTGGTAATGTAAGAGTAAAAATTATTCAATTATGACAATACTTTTCTGAATAAATACATCTATTCACAATTCTAGAGATCTACCAGTGAACTTGAGTCAGCAACTGAACAACACATTACCAATTATTCCACATACGAATATTTGCACTTTTAAAAAATCAGAATTTCCTGAATCTTGCATAATTTTATTTTATTTTATTTTATTTTATTTTTGAAGGCTTATATGCAATTTCCTCTGTAACTGGAATGTTAAAGGGCTAAACAATAGCATCATGGTCTGTACATCCTCATAACTACAATAGTTTCAAAAACTGAAGAATTTTAAATTTCATGAAATTACTTTCATCACTTAGTAGTTAGGATTCATTCCTTCAAACAATTTAGAAATTACAGTTAAGAATATTAAAAATGAAGACAAACAATACTTCATACCAACTCCACAATTCAGATGGTAACAGTCACAAAACTCAAAGAAATCGCACACAAAATAAACACTTCAATGCAAGCACTTGGCATAAAAACATCAATCATCCAATAGCATCAAGCAGGATATCATAGTATTTCTCCAACCAACAGTATTCTTTGCACAAAATTCTCCAGAGAACCATTCGTATATTGCAATATGACTATCAGAAACTATTAAACTTTTTTAATAATATTGAACTTCAAAAGTGCACTGCACTCAAAACTAGCAGCTATATTGTCCTGTTGCTGATATTAAATATCACATATCTCTTTCCTTAAAGTTATACCAAAACAAACCATTTACATGGGTGTACACGATCCTCAGGATTCAGATAAAATTTCTTCAATAGTTTTATCATCATGAAGGGGAGAACTACTGATAGGTGGACCGCTCTCTAAGAACTCTCGAAGCTCTGATTCCAAGTCCGTCACCAATCCCCCAACTTCTGCCACATCATCTCCACCTACCTGGGAATTTGTACCTTCCACATCTACCTCTTCCACAACAGTGGCATCACCTGTCACCTGACCAGATCCCAAGAGAGGAACAGGAACCACATTGCCCAAACCACTTCCAGAGGCAACAGCTGCATCTGATGGTACAACATGTGTTGGAACAGAATCGATAACTTCCAAAGGAGATTCTGGATGAGAAGGAGGCCCTGCTTCAGGAAGAATACCCATGGCTTTTCTCAGCGCAGGCACTGATGTGATATCAATTGGATTCACCTTCTTGGCCATATCCTTCAAATTATCAGTAATTTTCTCAGCTGTACGGGAAGAAAACAACAAGAAGTTATACAAATGGATATTTTTGCCATCCATACATTACTAATAGACATCTGCCACATACAACAAGAATTACAAAATTAACCAAAAACCATAAACTATTTACACAATCAAATATTGAAGGCAGGGACATATGCCAAAATTCAGAACAAAAGAGACATTCACATGTTAATTGTGTAAAGCAAAACAAATATGAATGTCTACAAATATCAAAAATCAAAACAAATGCCCTAGTTTAAAAAGCTGAATAAAAACTACTAAACCCTTTCAGGAGAAAGAACTCGTGTACTATTATAATTATATTGACATAAAAATGCACATAAAATATTGGCAAGGTGCAGCAACAGAGTAACAACATAAACAAACATTTTGAGTATTAACGCTCATCTCACCTGGCCCTGCCAATCTGCTCTGCTCTTACCCTCTCCAACCTCATCCACCCTGTACGACATACATCGTCCTACCACTACCCTTTCTTTCCTCCAGCTCTTGTCTGAACCTCCAAATCACTTTCCCGCCCAACTCTTTTCTGCTTCACTGCTATCAATTGCATATTGCCTGATCTAGATGCCCTGCAGATTACACAAACATTTCCATCATTTGGTATGTATTTTTGGGCTCCCCCCCCCCCCCCATGGTTTTTCTTCGTAGCTCAAAAGTGTCAAAATAAAAGTATCAGGACAAAAAAAATTCCTTTTGAAAAATTACAGCAGAAAATCACGAACAAAAATTACTAATTTCATCAAATCCATATTAAAAAACTTATACCTCATCATGCACAAACAACTCATTTTAATTGCCACTGAAAATGATCAGCATTTTACCAACCTAGCCCCCGACAGCTTTCAACACAGTGCCCAATGTTCCAGTCCCAAGCAATTTCCCATTGAAAAACAGCAGTATAATAAATGTAAAAGTATGAGAGTGTCAGTCTGTCCTTAGTCTTCCTGCTTCCTAGAGATCCTCAAAGCATAGAGGAGGCATATGTTGCAAACCTTGGATTCAGAGCTAGTCAGTGTAATTAATACCAGTTTATTACCAGCATGTTGCAATAATTAAATTCAATGGTCAATGGCGGACTTTGACCCAGCCCAAGAAAACATTTCTTTATGGAACTTTCATGTTACAATACAAAACATTCTTTCATTGAAAAACAATATTTTTATTCTGCAGGTTTTCATACTCATTTGCACGTCAAACTATGAAAAATATTTTAAAACATTACAGAGAATTTATTAACAATATTACAAACTTATTAACTTAGGGTAACAAAGATTAGGTACAACAGGGGCAAAGTGCAAAAAGTTCAAACCCTTCCAAAAATATTGTTTTCTTCAAAGAACCATTTCTTGAATTAAGAAACAGTTTAGTAGATTCACACCTACAAACTAAATAATTTAACACATTGCAAACCAGCACCTCGAATCACTACCTTATGCCAGTTCCCAACCCTTTTCTCGTGGTATTACATGGACACACCGGTGTTGATGTAACAGATTGCAACTTCCTTCACTTTATACAAAATTGTATATCCCATTTGATACCACTGCTCCAAAAAGGAAACGGCCAATTTCAAGGATTTTTCCCTATCTTAAATATTCTTTTACAAATATAATGTGTGAATACAACTGAAGTTGACAGGGCATAAGCAACGAAAGTGTAACGTTTTTCTAGAAAAAAATACTCATATCCACCGTTAGGCACTTTGGAGCGCTCTAGTAGTATAATTTAGCAATATAACAATGGTTTAGCGCTAAAACTTGCAAACATATGCTACCAGAGAGCTCCAACAATGACTGTGCATGCACGGAAAGGACAACATTGGGCAACCATTATGCGCTCAAAATTAGGAATATAGGAGACAATGAAAGGTTCTAGAAGCAATAGTGTCAACTCATTTTAGACATACATTTCCATATGCAAATGATTTGTAGATGTCTCGCAAATGAGTAGTGTGCTAAGACAGAAATTTTCTGTCCATGGTCCTTGCTGCTTGGGCAAGAAAAGACGAAAATTTCCGTCCTTGGTCCGCAATGTGTTAAGATTACATCCAAAAATTTAAGGATATGAAAGTGAACACACCAAGCTGAAGTTCCCCATCAGAAGGAAGTGCTACTTGTGAGAGATGTGGAGGTGGCGCCATGCTTAATCGATCACTCTGAACTTGCTGTAGCTTTTGTAGAAGATTTGATGTGTGATCCAATTGCACTTGCATTGCTTGCTCAGCAGCACGATGCTCATCACCAGTTCGTAAGTGTGATTCTGCAATAAAGCAAATTTTTTATGTTAGGACCTCGTTTTTAAATCCTATTTTTAACCGGTATTAATACAAAAAAAAGATAAGCTTTTCCTTATGGTTTAAATTAATATAGAACTATCCTATTGACATATTACTGATCATTCTACATACATATTCTAAATAATAAATTTTTCAACTTACCTAATTCATCCAAGAAATCAACATCAAGACCAACACTACTAAGAGACTTAAGAGCTGAAAAGTCCACTCTTGTGTCTATGTTAGGTAGTGCGGTGTTCTGTATAATATTATTATTATTATTATTATTGTTATTATTATTATTAATACTATTATTATTAACAACAGGAACTGGTTGCATTTGCTGTAGAGGTTGTGATTGAACATCACCACTCTGTACACCTGAAGGGCCACGCCCTTCAAGTAATTGTCGTACTCTTTCTTCTTCCTCACGCAATTTCCGACGTTCTTCCAATATTCGTTTAGTTCGTCTGTGCTCCCCACCAGTCAGCAAGTCCAATAAATTATCAACCATTGTAAGTGTGTAATCACAGTCTTTGGTGAAGTCCTGGATGCTGAAAATAAGAGGAAAAAAAAATTTATTATACTAGCAGATGGAACCCATTGATTTATCTCAACGTCCATGGAGCATGGGCAAAGAAATGAATTCTTTCTACATAGCATAAGATAAAAGTAATTTAATTTAAACTTCTGCCATCTCCACAACAGTCTGCTCCACTCTTCCTGCATGACATTCCTGTCCTGTCTTGCCTGTCCGCCAACCCCATCATGTTCCGCCCTCCCTGCTCTATCTTGCATCCTGGATGGGGGTAGTTTTATTGAAATCTTGTGAATATAGTGATCACACTTTTGTTTCAATGGTTTAGTGTGCAAAAGTTTATTGAGAAATCAAACATATTTCTTTATTCAGTAGATACAATATCACAGAAATCAAAATATGTTACGAAGATATCGAATAATAATGGCAGTCTTCTATCCAAACAAAGAAAACCAACTGCTGCTGATGTAATAAAATACAGTGCACCAGGAAAGTCACTCTGCACTGAGCCAAGTCAGGGTCTTCTATCAAAAATTGTATTTATGTTGGGAGCAATCAGATCACAGCAAAGGGGATAACACTTCCAGCAGCTATTATGATTGTGGTAGTACGCAATTTACATTTACTTTTGTTCTAAGCTAGTGTTACCAACATAACTTCTGTTACAAGCACTCTCATCTGCAAGGTGCCACTGCAGAGAGACTTTTTAGCATGCTACATTTGAAGGAATTTTCAAAGTGAAACTGTTTTGAATTTTTTATACAATTCAAGTGATAATGACCACGATAAACAAATCCTAACTGTAAAAAAAGAAGATACAAATGCCTTGAAGCCATTTAACAGAGGTTTTTTTTAGAATGGTTGCCTTTAAAGTCAACTTACCTGGTACTTCTATAACCCATGATTACACAGCAACAGCTCAGTCATTCAACATCCCTACACTAAAATCTTATAGAAACTATACATCTCATACTTTCTTATACAAATTAATTCATAGAATCACAGAGAGCCCTCTCCTGCTTCAGCAAGTGTACTTCAGAGTCCCTGCTATTAATGAGAACTAGAAATGATTTTACACTAATAAGCTCAAAGAATCATATATTACGAATAACCCTATAAAAAGAACTAGTACCTTAGTCAATGCTTATAAAATTGATATTTTAGAACTATCGTATGCGACATTCAGAAATCATTGTGAGTGAGAAATCCTTGAATTCACTTGATTTCATTATTTCATTTACTTACATACACTTCACCAACCGCTTTTCTACACTATTGGTGAGTTCATTAAACACACATTGTAACAATTGCATGTACTTTCTCCTATGCGTCATTGCAACTAGTTTGGGTAGAAAAAGATGAAAGTCTGTTTTTGTTGTCTATTTTTGAATTTTTTTAAATAAATAAGAGCAATAAATTAAGTACCTTTCAGCATACTGCACAGCAGTCTCATCACCATATGTCTGATAAACAAGATCAGACTCTTCTTTAGTTAAATTTGCAAAAGTGGAATCATAAGATGGAGCATATGATCCAAAGGCACCATAATACAGTGGTTTTACTGCAAAAGAACATAATACTTTATAACAGGAAACCATAACAATCAACCAATAAAAATTTTATTTTAAGAAAAACTACAAATTCAGACAATAATATTGCACCCATACTTTAGGGAGAAGAAAAGATTTGAACATTACAGTACTTATAAAATAACAAATTCATGAATTTTTTGAATAACTGAAAATTTGAAGAATTACACCTTGATTCAAGAAAAAACAATGTAAACCATTCATTTTAAAAAACTTTCAAAATTCAACTTTGATACACAAAGCACAATACAAATATTGTGATTTACCCACCAGTCTTTGCCAAATTACGTCGATCTTCCCGGAAGCCCTGCAACTGGCCAGTCCCATGGGTTAATTTACCAGAAAAGGCACCTAAAGATACAGGTCGCTCATTGGTGCCAGGTGTTACTCCATCAGTGGGTATTAAAATTGCTAAAGATGTGCTCCCATCTTTCTTCTGCCTCAGAAAGCCCATTTTAGAATTCACTTGTTTCATTGATAATTTATCTGCAGCAGCTTTGGCAGCATTTTGTGCTTGCTGTAATATTTCTTCTGGAGTAAGGTCATCAGGAATTGCTTCAAATTTGCTCCTATGAGAAAAATTAAAAATTTTCCATGTAACACACTACAGAACATAATAACAAAATTATAATTACACAAAGAACTCGTGTATTTTTTTCACCGTTGTATGGGGAAGAGAAATGTAAAATTCATTCTAAAAAGGTTTAAAAACACCAAATAGATTGTTACCAGTTGGGGATTTCAATACTATTCTAAATCACTTCCACAGACCCTGACCCCTTCCACAGACCCCTTCCCACTTCCACAGACCCTGAAGATTGGTACAGATCAGCAGGTATGAGGAAGAAGAGAAGAAGGAGGAGGAGGAGGAGGAGGAGGAAGAAAAAAGAGAAAGAAGAAGAGAGAGAAAAATGAAAAGGAGCAAGAGGAGGAAGCATTAGGACGAAGTTAAAGGGGAAGAAGGAAAAGAGGAAAAAGAAAAAAGATAACCAAGCCTTACAAATCATACCGTTGAAGTATTGGTTTGCTACACATATTTTAATAAATCTAATGGATTTTTAAATTAATTTACTTTGTTTTTTTGAAGAAAATGTACTTTTTTTGCAGTTTGCATGTTTTTACCAACTGAATACATAATTGTCCCCACAATCAACCACGGTTGCTGCTGAGCACATTTAATTCATTAACTCAAGTATTTTGAAGTTCTGATTAAAAAAATAATGTCATGAATAAAACCAAGGCAAAATTGATTGCTGCACAAGCGTCATTCATCAGAGGACAAGAATTTTTTAGTCTTCTACTTACCAAGCCCAATGAGTTTTTCAAAAAACTACAGAATTATGAATGCAGGGGAAGTAAAAAAATATACTTACAAAGGTCTATTTTCCTTCATTTTTCGTCTGTGTTCCCTTCGAACTTCAGCACTCATATCATCACAATCATCTCTCACACTTCCACCTCCTTCTTCTGCAGACAAATTCTCTGATTTCATTGGCGTGCCTGATGCTAAGTAATCTTCATTGCCAAGTTCAAAACCCAATTCAGCACGAGTTAATTCACAAAGGTACGGTAATACTGAGCGCAGAGGTTTCAACTTGTCAGCACTCATGAACTTCAAACCAACATGAAGCAACTTCTTTGCAGCTTTGTAATATATTGTTTCAGGATGATTGTATACCATTGCATTGTTGCACATTAATTTGAAATCATCCTAGAAAACAATTCAAAATTGGTGAATTTTGACCACAAAGTGCATATGCCAATTTTTTTCTGAGGAATTGATATTCTAAAAGTTCTGAGGCAGTTGATATTTATCAGATATCTAGAACAAACAAACTTACAATGAAGTCTCCAAGACATGAATAAGCACCATCATCAATTTTCTGCTTCATTGTACTGAAATCCATAGGCTGTGAAATTATTTGGGAATAACCAGGAGCAATATGATCAGTAACAGGCCAAGCAAAAAACTGTTGTGGATCTCGTTTCTCTAATCCTTTTAACAAATGATCAAGTAATCGTTGCAAAGCTGAGCGTTCTTGTCGTTGTCGAAGCACACAGGAGCGTGGTTCTCGTGAAGTACACACTGAAAAAGAAAATGTTACTCAAAGAACAAACATACAGCTGATTCACTAAAACTTCCAAGTATTCAGAAAAAAACAGAATTTGATTCCCATTCACCTAATTATGATTTTCATATTTTATTAACAAACTTATTCGTTTTCTGAATATTTTTCATTATTATTTGATAAAATAATGTTTTAAGCCAAACAAATTTTCTGTTAGTGAAGTTATTAGAAAATATTTTTTTATTCTGGTAAAGAAAGTGTTAAATATTGTGCTTGATTCTACTAAAAAAATGGCTTACAGATGATATCCTAGTTCTGAGTTTAACTCTTACTTTTATTTATATTAAATATTTTCTCCAGAGACATAATGAAGTTGCTATCAAAACAACTCTTACATAGAAGAGAATAGTTTCTATCCCTTTGGTAGCTCATTAGAGCATGATATGAGGGTGAAATTTCATAGATTAAAACAGAATAACCTAAAAATACTTTCGTTTATGAATATGAACAGCATTATTGTCCTGAAGATTTGCAAGATCATTTTTATTGGACAATTGATTCAATTCACTAACCATTGGAATTAATTATCTGAAAACCTCACAAATACTTGGAAATACACAATAACCTACAAAATTTGTTCTAAGAAAATATTCATTTTCATAATACCTACAACCTAATAACATTTTATTACATAAATGCTTCTAATCAGAAACACACGTTTTGATCATACACTGGACTTGTATATTGCAAACAATTTCTGTGGATTGTCATCACAAAACTCAATGAACTTCATTCAAAATGTGTACCTTGGGTGCTAATTATAAGCTTGTACTATAAAATCCTACTTGCGTCTGGCAAGAAAAATGATAATGGAAAATAAATCCGGACATGATAGGTACTTTCAAAGACTAAAAATCCTTATTTAGAAGCATATGGACAATAGTTCTGGCTAGATAGTTATTGCCCAAATTGATTAATAAAAAAAAGTGAAGCCCATGGCGGACTACTAATGACACCTTAGCAAAACTTGACAAAACAGACTTACAACACTATTACAACACACTATTATGCAGTACTTTCTTCCCACGTTATGCAGTATACTAAACCCGGAACTAATCCATCATATGACAGTGCTATTGTATAAAAGCATGACATGTGATCAATAGCAATGGATGAATGTTTTATTTAAGTTAAATTCTTTGGTTTCATTATTAAACATTTCTCTTAGCTGCCAGTAGATTTGTTATTCTTGTTCCTTACGAAATTAAATCTCTTCAATAACATTCTAAAACCTGTAAGACATTTCAATGAATGAGCTTGCCCGTCACTTCTATGGTGTGGAACAGAAGTGTTATGATTTCACCTTGCTAAAGTTTTTAGAAATTCAAATATTCTTTAGCATGTTTAATGCCAAGAGCTTACTAATTCTATATATTTATACATTTTTTAGGTGTAAAATTTATTATGTTTTATCAATTTACATATTTCATTATATATATATATATATATATATATATATATATATATATATATATATATATATTTTTTTTTATTTACTTATTTATTCATTTATTTAATTTATTTATTAAATCTTCAACTAACCCTTATTTAACATCAGGCTGTTCAACTGCTTAGGTTATTGAGGTGCAAAAGTGATTTAATTGACAGACAATTAACAATGATGAGGTTAATGATAACAGTGAAATGACAGGCATGGGAAACATACAACCCCCAAGAAGGTGAGACTGCTGAGGGCTTGAGAGGAAAAACTGCTGAGAGCTTGCATCGTTCATCTCAAGTATCACACATACTAGCCTTAGAAGAGAACAGCATATGCACTGGCCATTATGCCACAATCCCAGCACCTCCCAAAAATATGACAGCCATAAAAGATAAGTTTGAAGATTTTTTTGCATTCAAAAAGTACAATAACAATATGTACTCAATTACAGAAGTATAATACACATGCAGAAGTGTTTTTCAAATTGCTTAGATTCTTGTTATTTTATAAAGAACACCAAAGCATATCTACTGTACAGAAAGTCTGAAGCATGAAAGTGTGGACATCAGGATACCAACAGGTTCAGAAAATTAGCGCTTCCCAAATGTCAAGGTAAAATTTCACAACTTACCTTGTCCTTGATGAAGATGTGTACCATCTCCTGAATTGGTACCTTGAGATGCGTCACCCACATTGCCCTCCATCATAATACGTTTGTTGGGCAAAGGTGGGTCAGACAATGACTCCTCACCCACACTTATATCATCTTGGCTTGATTCATCCCGTGGCCTCTTACGCTTCTCCTAAACAAAAGAAGAAAAAACAATCCAGTATTTTCAAAGGATTCACTTTAACATATTTTATAGTAATATGGACAGAGTTCAGTAAAATTGTGGTTCAAATAAAGCTGATTAGTTTCAGTTCAAATTAAATTCAGTTCACTGTCTAATTTAAGTGATTTTGACCAAAATACAATCTCTAATACAAATACAAATGCTTGGAATAGTTTATGATAGTAAGTCCAATTACATTCCTACAATACATCAACCATCAATTTAATATTTAAGCATTTATTTCATATCAATTTATTCACTTTTTCTTAATTACCTTTCAGAAAAATTGACATTTTAAAAGCATTAATTTTAATAAACAAATATTTTCATATCAAATTTGGTTAAAAACGCTTGTTGCTATATATATCCATAATTCAACTTAATAGATTTACGAGTTAGAAGAGACATCCCAGAGCTCAAGAAACCATGCACCTCTCTCCATAGTACATCACACAGTTTCTAACTATTTTTGATGTTAAAAAATAAATAAAATGCCATAGGAAGGTTAAAGACTGCAAGAAACACAATAACATAAGAAACGAAGTTAATCTGAAAGAACTGGAAATATCTATATCCAGTGCTTAATTTATAAATGGCCGGAATGCGCCAAAAGTTACTTGTTAATTTAATACAAGTAGTTATACATCTATAATATTACTATATTTCAGTATTTCTATATATTAATAATTATTAATTAATCCCGAGGTACCAAACGCCGCTCCGTCGCGTTCCAACTGAAATCAAGCCCTGTCTATATCTAACATAAAAGGGAAAAATCGTCTCGAACGATTTCGGTGATTTTTGTTATTAGTATTGGGAATTTTAAGAGTCATTTGAATTAAATCGAACATGTGTGGCGTTGTTGGTGATTTACGCGTTTATGACTCCACAGTTTATGAAAATAGGCAACCACCGCACTGTCAAGTTTTAAGCGCCTGTGGCTGCATATTCTGCCCCTGCGTTTGTGAATTATCGGACGGAATTATTACTTAATCATAATTCAAATTTCTCCATGACAGTGCCATGCGAACGCATTCCTAAACTTGAGGGAGCACGTTTCACAAGAGAATACTTGACAACCATGTCCAAACCAGGACATGGAACAAACCCATACTCGCGATAGTCTTTCAACTATTTGACTTTTTTGTGAAGTATAATAAATTGCAATAGAGAAGCATTTCTGGGATCTCAAGTACACCCCGCGCTCACTCTACACACCCTGCGCTAACTTCGGTAAAACCTGCGCGATATAAGACGGACACACGGACAGACCGACACACGGACAGACCGACACACGGACAGACCGACACACGGACAGACCGACACAGTACAAAGGACCAGCAGACAATGAAACGAGATAGCGAGGTGTGGAAGCGTAAGGAGCTTTGGGGCATGTTGGTGCAGAAAGCGAATGCACTATACGAGTAGGCGAAGACAAAACACAATGTGCATAAGGAGATTAAGTCTTACGCAACGTCCATCAAGTGCCTCGTTGAGAAGCTAACTGACCTGGATGAAGATCGGGGACTAGCCGCTACCGTCGGATCACCCACAGATAAAAGGGAGACGCAGACCTCGCCGGGACTGGATGCCCGACAGAAGGTGGATAAGTCGGGTAAGCGAAAGAGGCAGGAGTCGCCTTCCCCTCCCTCATCTAGCAGGAAAAAGGTAGCGTTGCCGCGTCAAAGAGATTCTGGCAGAACACCGGCAACTCCTGAGGTGACCAGCGAGAAACCAGGAAGTGAGCGACTACCGGAAAACCCGTGGAAAGTTGCTCCAAAGAGGAAGAAGAAGAGGGAAAAAAACCAGCCAACGAGGCGTCGCAGAGTGTTAAACTCAAGCGTCTGCGTCCTAGTCCTACCCGCACAGATGCTCTCCTCGTCGGCGTGGACGGGCAGAAATCGTCATACGCGGATATTCTCCGCCGAATGAAGAGCGACCCGTCCTTACAAAATGTCGGTACCCGTGTCAAGCGGATCAGGCGAACTGGAGCTGGAGACCTAGTACTGGAGCTGGAAAGGTCGGCTGGCGGAAAGGTGGATGAATTGAGGGGCTCCATATCAGACAAACTGGGAGATGCCGCAACAGTTATCACATTGAGGGAGGAGACCACGGTGGAGCTGCGAGACCTCGATGAGCTCGCAACCAGGGAGGAGATCTGCGCCGCGCTGGAAGAGCAGCTGGAGACAAAACGTGATCAGACAGCGGTGAAAGCACTACGGCCTAGCTTCAGAGGTACGCAGGTGGCGGTGGTCTGTCTACCGACGGTTCTGGCGAGGAGGGCTGCAACGATCGGGAAAATTCGAATTGGCTGGGTGGTAAGTCATATCCGAATTAAGGCTACGCCGTTAAGATGCTACCGACGCTGGGACGTCGGTCACCGTGCCAGTTCCTGCAAGGGACCTGACCGAACCAAGCTTTGCTGCAAGTGTGGCGAAGAGGGTCATGTGGCAAAAACCTGCGAAAAGGATCCGCACTGCATGTTATGCTCTGCGAAGTCTGAATCCAGCCGCACCTCTGGTGGCCCAAAGTGCCCGGTTTATCAGAGGTCACTCCAGATGACAAAGAGGCAGAAACAATGAGGTTACTCCAATTGAACCTCAACCATTGTGAGGCAGCACAGGACCTGCTGAACAAACGGCGAGAGACTTTAAGATCGACGTGGCGATTCTTTGCGAGCAGTACACGAACATGGACGGCCCTACTTGGTTCTCAGACAGAATTCGAAACGCTGCTGGACAGTCTGGTGGCTGATGCACGAGGACGAAGACCCCTCATCATCGCCGGCGATTTCAACGCATGGGCTGAAGCGTGAGGCAGCAGGGTAAGGAACCGAAGAGGAGAGGCTCTTCTAGACCATCTAGCCTCACTGGACGTTGTCCTAGCAAATACCGGGAACTCTCCAACCTTCTCCCGAAATGACAATAGCTCCATAATCGATTTGACATTCGTGAGCGAGTGCATTGCTCGCTCAGGTCTAACCTGGGATGTGAGCGACCAATACACGCATAGTGACCATCATGCTATTTTCATTGAGATGGGTGAACCCGAGAAACGTCGGACACTGCACCAGCCCAGTCGCAAGTGGAGCACGAAAAAACACACACGCAAGTGGACACGGAGGCCCTCGTCATGATGGAACATGTGACCATATCTGAAAGACTACCGGCAGAGCAGGCAGAGGAACTCATGACGCATGTTGTCAATGCATGCGATGCCTCTATGCCGAGGTGCTCACCAAGGGACCGCCTACCACCGGTTTACTGGCGGAACGAAGAAATTGCTCAACTGCGCAGGAAATTCATCAAGAGCAGACGTCTGTGCTAAAAAGCAAGGGGCCGGCCCGACTCTGAGAGATTGCGGGAACAACACCGGAATGACCGCAACGCCTTGAAAAAGGCCATCAAAGCGAGCAAACGTCTCTGCTGGCGTGAGCTGTGTCGAGAGGTTGATGAGGACCCATGGGGCAGGCCGTACGAAATCGTTACGACCAAGCTGGATGGCGCGGTCAACACGACCCCGACCTGTCCAAACCTGCTACAGTACATCGTGACCACTCTCTTCTCGACCCAGACGGAGACGAACCAGCAGCCCCGATACATCGACCCACGGACGTGCCCCCAGTCAGTCCAGATGAACTCTGAATGCTTGTCGCCGGATTCAAAACACTAAAGCTCCGGGTCCGGCCGGAACACCAAACGCGGCTTGAAGGTTGCCATCGAAGCTTGCCAAGACCTCTTCTTGGGCGTTCTCGACAGATGTCTGAGGGAAGGTTCCTTCCCGCGCTGCTGGAAACGACAACGGCTGGTGCTCTTGCCTAAGGGCAAGAAAAAATCATGCGACCCGTCATCTTACCGCCCGATTTGCCTGTTGGACACAGCAGGTAAAATCCTGGAGCGAATTGTTTGCAGCAAAGTTGAGACCTTCGTCGAGAGCAACAGCGGCCTTTCCGATAATCAGTTCGGTTTCCGAAAAGCGCGCTCAACAGTGGAGGCAATCGGTAAAGATGTGAACATTGCTAGAGAGGCCATATCAGGAGCACGTTAGACAAGGGGCACGAAAAAGTACTACGCCGTCGTGACTTTGGCTATTAAAAACGCCTTCAACTCAGCGAGGTGGAGCTGCATGCTAAATGCCCTTCAACTCCTGGAAGTCCCAGTGTACATCAGGACAATCATCAGCGATTACTTCAAAGATCGAGTCCTGCTGTACTACACAGATGACGGTCCGAGGAGTTATGACCTGACGGGTGGTGTTCCACAGGGGTCGGTTCTGGGTCCCTTACTTTGGAACATCATGTACGATGCGGTACTGAAACTGGAGTTACCACATGGCGCGGAGACCATTGGCTTCGCTGACGACGTGGCGCTCGTCGTCGTGGACAACTACCTGGAGGACGTTACCCTCGTGGCCAACAGCTCCATCGTGATAATTCGCCGGGGGCTGTCTTTGGTCGGGGTGGTCCTGGCGATCACAAAACTGAGGCAGTGCTGATTACCACCAGGAAGACACGAGAGACCATCACCCTCAGAGTGGGAAGAATTGAGATCCAGTCCGGGCCACACCTGCGTACCTCGGCGTATGGATCGACGCGCGTCTCCATTTCGACGAACATCTTCGACTCGTTAGCCAGAAAGCGGATGGTGCGATCTCTGCCCTGTCACGCATTATGCCGAACACCGGTGCCCCAGGCAAAGCAGGCGGAAGCTCCTCGCGGCCGTGGTTAGCTCGACCCTGCTCTATGCAGCGCCCATTTGGGCAAGCGCCCTGGCAACAGCAGCATACGCCACGAGGACCATATCCGTCTACCGTCCGAGTGCTTTGAGAGTATGGCCTGTGCGTACCGCACGGTGTCATATGACGCCTATAGAGATTCTGGCGGACGAGCGCCGACGGATCTACTACCAGGGAAGACACGGCTCACGAACAGAAGCCCTCGCTGCGCTGGAAGAAGAGAAGATGGAAACGATGAGACAGTGGCAAAACCGTTTGGGACGTAACGCTGAACGGTAGGTGGACTCACCATCTTATCCCACGGATCAACGAGTGGGCGTCGAGGGTTCACGGAGAAGTGGACTTCGTGACTCAGTTGCTGACGGGGCATGGATGCTTTAGAGCGTACCTGCACCGATTTAAGCTCGATGACGACCCGACGTGTCCAGCTTGCCCAGGACAGGCGGAGGATGTGGAGCACGTGGTGTATAACTGCCTGCGATTCTCAGGAGAACGAGACCACCTGCAGGAAATCTTACAACAGCGCCTGACACCGGAGAACACCATACCACTGTCGATGACCACGGAAGAGAGATGGGCCGCACTTGCAACGTACGCTGCCCGGGTCATGCGACGCCTCAGAATTGAAGAGCGTGCGAGAAGTAGAAGCCAATAAAGGCGTAAAGGAGGGGGACTAGAATAACCCCACCACCCCACCTAACGAAGTAGTGCCTGGCGTAGGGTTTTAGTGAGTTATCTACGGATGAGTCCCACACGAATCGGCGCGGAAATGAGAGTCTGCGTCGAGGGTGCGTAATTGCATTTCCCCCGTCATTAAAAAACAACAACAAATGCCGACACACGGACAGACCAACACACGATCATTGGAAATCAATTGAACTCCTACTCACAAATGCAAATAATTCATACAAATTGCCGGTAATGTGAATACTGGTATTACCGACGTGAGAGGAATTTAAAAAAGGACTTTCGTGCAAATTGGGGAAAATAAAATAAAGACATCAAAATTTCATTTATGTTATGTTATTCAGTGCATTTTGCACTTTCCGTATTAAACGTTTAAAGAAAAATATTCTGAACAGTTTTCGATAAAATCTTTTGAACATATTTTAAAAATATTGCCAATATTTCATTCAAAATTGCTCGCTAATTGTTCATATATTTTTAAAAAATCCATGTCGTAAATGGAAGAAATAATTCTGGAGAACGAATTTCATTTGAAAAATTAAGAAAAAACAGCTATACAATTTCTATTTGTAGGAATACACCAAAAAAATCACACTTATTTCCAATAATTCAGAGATATAAGTGAAAATCGGACATACGCATCTCTTTAAGCGTGTTTCCCTATACTCTCACAAGAAATTTAAAAAAAAACTGGAGTATTAAAAAAACTGAAAATTGCCCAAAACAATTTTTTGTTTTGTACTCCCAAATTCTAAAGAATGTTTTTCAAAATCGCAGAGCTTCGAGTCGGTCGTGATCGGACGGAGAATATTCATTTCGGGGGGAGAAAATCTGAAGAATACGAGTAGTTTAGGCACTAATTGTTGGGACGGACGGACGGACAAACGAACGGTTTTGCCGTAAACCAATTTTTCGATACCAAGGACCCACAAATTGCGAAATCTGGCTTCACAACTTGTCAGAGGAAATAATTTACTATGTATCGAAACAAGATTTATCCACTTTATTATAAGAGTTTTTCCTGAAGAAAAACAGACGTTTTTGCGGCAGCATTACGTAACTTTCTCTACAGTCGTATATCGAGAAAATAATGACGAATGTGTATTGTGAGTTTTGTTCCAGCTTAACACTTCCGCACGTGAATAATTTCGTCTCTACAAAACTAGGAATCGTTGTCAGTTTGGAATTATAAAGGGGAAAAGAATACTTTGGGGTGAGGCACCCCTGTAAGTAAAAATATAAAATTAATTATATTACAAAATGTAAAATTAAATTAACCTTTGATAATATGAACGGTTAAGTTCTCATAGGTCTCAGAATTTTGATTTGTTAATGTTGCACACAGTTCTGTCATTAGTCTTTCAAAGATGTATAAAACTATTTTCATTTTTAAAATAATTATTTAAAATAGGTGACATGAACTTTTCGGGCATGGGTCAGTTCTGTCATCTTATGGTTCTAAATGTGCACTCATGAGAGAAGAAAAACATTGGCCTGCACTAAATAAGAAACAAAATAAGAAAAACAATAACAAAAGAAACTCTGCAGAAATTGCAAACACTCAACATGATACTGACATAACGAAAAAATGTCAAGAACAATTTCAGCCTCCATAAATAATATGTTACCAAAAAGTAAAGGAATGTTCTCAAAATATTGATTCCTCTCCGACATGCTTTATTGGGTATATTATGGTAAACGTTTACCATTGTGTTTTCAATCAATATTTTTTTCTTAGTCTTAACATTTGTGTTACTCAAATAATTAAACCCCTCAAAAGATTATTCAAATTGTTTATAAACCAAAGCATTTTGCTCTTCCCTTGAGATTTGATGTAATACTTTTTTCTTTAACAAAGCTGAAAGTATTACTATCAGATTATCACCTTAAAACAATTACAATATTAACATTCCACAATTGAATGTTTTCCATGTGAATTCTAAAGTCTGTTTTTCCCCTAGGCTGGCTTTTCAAATTTTTGAGAACATTTATCTTCAATTCTTCAAATGTGTTTTCACATTAGTTCATATGTTTACTACATCTGTTCCAAATATATTTCCCTTCAAAGGAAAAAAACTGATATATAAAAGGTTGCAGCATTTCTAGACTTACAGAAGTAATAACTTGAGAAAACTTCAACTCATTCAAAATTTTTTTATAGTTTTTGAACTTTCTTTCAAACTAGAAGATCCTGTGTAATTTCAAGCATACATAAATTATATTTTGCTTTTAATTAACAGATCAATATACCTGTGGTTCTTGTAGCAAAGTAGTAAATAAGTAATCATAACAAACAATTTCATATTTTAATACACAATGGCCAGAATACCAATTAGATATTTCTTGTGCAACTAAGTATTTATAATTGGTATGGAATACAAAAAAGTATCTTTCGATATGTCCAATAGTAAAGTGTAGAACAAGCATAGTTTTGAACAAGTCGAAACTGCAGAATATTTGGTCTATATCTTCTCTTTTGAGCAAGTTTTTTGTTCTTGTATTTGGTAAATTTAAATTCTCTTTTAGGCATGGTTTTACAAAAGTGAGCTGCATTTCCCAATAATTTTTACTTTAGTCATTGTACCAATTCTTTAAATCTTTATTTCCCAATTTACTTTTCATTAAGTTGTGATGGCTGTTGCAATTCACTATGTACATTCCTAATAATTCAAAAGTTGACATCAACTTTCATACTGATATTTCGAATAAAATATATTATTTCTGGACACTGAAAATGCATCTATTTGCCTAAAAGTTTGGAAATTTACATTATAAAGAAGAAAACACTAAATATAATACAAAACATTTGCAAGAAGTCTACCTCAATTGTAAATGAATTAAATGAACTTTTTTCAAATAGCAGCATAGTAATAGATATAAAGTAGACAAAAGACGAAAGTAAGACATAGTAATAAATCAAACTAAAAGGGGAGTAAATAATTCTTCACACAAGTTCCTCATCAGTAATTACAAAAAATATTTTTCACTCTTTACACAAAATTTTCAAAATTCCACATCACAATGACATCTCTGCATCTAACCCTTTGTTCTTTCGCCCAATTATTGTGACATTATTAATATTTTGTTTCCAACTTACTTTGTGATGATGTTTGTGTTTCTTTTCATGTTTTTCCTTATCTTTATCTTTTTCCTTCTTCTTCTTCTTCTTTTTGGCCTTTCTGTGCTGGCGGTCAATGTGAGTCTCATCCTTTGTATGAAATGAGGCAGTTGACAAATGTGATTCTTCATCTCCTGCCTGGGATGCAACGCTATAATTTATATTTGCGTGTACAGGGGGGAGTGTAGGCCCTGGAGAATCACTGCTATGTTCTGGTGTAGATGAACTGCCTACTTTCAATATTAGTTTCAAGGATGGAGGTTTTTCAATGCCAAACTGTTTTTCTGTAATTGATAAATACAATAGTAAAGACGTAAGAACATTACAGAATTTTTACCTTTCACGTACATTCACAACTTCCATTCACATTTATACACTCTTGACAGAGGCAGAACTAACCTTCATAGCGGTCTTTTTTCTCCGATTTGTGTTTTTTGTGTTTTTTCGAACCCATTATCAACTTCTTTGCTTAAAAACGCAATGCTTAAAAGCAAAAACACTTTTCTTAGTCGTGATTTTGTCTGAAAGGCCAAGATATTGTATATATTTGAGTTATTCCATTACAACACAAATTCCACATCCAAGATTACAAGCCAAGTAGCCGCCATCACAATACCGATCAACCGATCGCTACACGCCCCTCCCTCTCTCCTGCCGTCAACATACCCGCATTATGTGGAATTTAGCGCCGTCTTCCGTCACTCCAAAGCATTTCAAGAAAGTTGAAGCACGATTTTAGTCTGTATTCGCGGGAAGTTCGAATATAAATTAATTAAAATATAAAAGTCCATACTGTTTTGTTTTTTGTTTCTTCGCGATTCTTAATGAGTATATTACTCAATAAACCTTCTCATATTTTACAGAAATGATAAGAAAGTATCCCTTGTTTCACGAATGACAGGCCGGCTTCGGAAGACTAAGTTCTGACGTTGCCAGATAGTACCTGCTTGAGGACCCACTCACTTAGTGTGCTTATCCGCAAATTCTACACCATTTGTAAATATTGCATTTATACTAAGTATACTTATACTAAGTTCTAATTATTTAATTTATTAAAATCAGATGCCGAGAACTGTTTGGATTTGGCACTTCGTAAGAAGATAAGAGAATTTTGCAAATTTTTATAACAATTACATCACGTATAAGAGGATTTTTTTCTAAATTTAGAAACTGGATGTATCCACTTTTGTGTTACCAGGGCCTAGGAATAAGAATTTCCCCGAGTTTTCCTGCAGACTAGCTTTCTAGTTCGTAAGCGGCAACGAGAAGTTATACTCATATTCAGGCAAGTATTACAATCATTATACATCACTCACCCATAATATGTGCCTAAAAGTAATCACACACTCAAGGGTGGACTTCAACTACGCAACTACCTAGAGATCTTACCTCAGAGGGGTCCTGTATGATAACAAAATACAATAGGGTCACTAAAAAACCAAAAAATCATAAATGTGATAAAGCAATTTTAAGTATGTTACTGGTTGAATTACTTTTTAATGACATCTACTTGGTTCAGATTTCAGATATGTATATTATTGGGATATTAGAATTAAATGGAAATGCATCAACCTGCCTATGCTGTCTGCCTCAACCCCTACTCGTCTCCAAGCGTTTCCTTTGGTAATTTCACCGTACTTTTTTTTCTGCTTTGGGGTTTGTACTCAAAACATTCAAGTGGGATTCATGAACTATCCAGATTCTTTAGATGGTATGATTGGGACCCGGTGGAACCAAAATTTCCTCCATGTTGCACACTTACAGTTCTGACCTAATATTGTTTTCCTTATAGTCCCTCAAAAAGTAGACCACTAGTGGCATTCCTGTTTCTGCTGCTTCAATCTTCTTTCTCGTTTGAGCTGTAATTGTCCCACTGGCGGTCCATGTCCAGATTGCATGGTTGCACAACCCGCCAGATATCGAAAAAATCCATTAATATCTTAGGAATATACATTTTTCTTTTAATGACATTCAATATTCAAGATATTGTTGCAATATCGATGTATATCAATTCGTTTTGAAACCAAAGAGTGTCCAACTGCCGTACTCCCCGGTTCCTAGCAACGTATTGCACCTCGCTCTTGGATCTTGGCTGTATTACTGAGTTTACTGCATTTACTCTTTTCCCTTTTATTTAACGCGGGCAACAATGGCCTTTTGGTTGGACAAGCACACGGGTGGCGTGGCCTAGCGCTGCGCGGCGTCGAAGGGAGTCTCAGGGGAATACCAAATTTATATCTTCGTCTGACTCGATGCAACATATTATAAATTTCGCTTGTTATTGAAAGTATACAACTTCAGTCAATTATTGGCGGCATTTAATGCATTATTTATAATTTTTAGAGAATTTTTCTTTTGTTATTAGATTTATTGATTTTAAATGTACATTTGATGAATTCTAATGTAAAGTTGGCCGATCTGGAAGAAAGCCTCTTTCTCAGCAGATGCAGCAGACTTACACCACGGAGAACGCTGGAATATGAGTGTGTCTGGAAGGATCTTTGTTACAAAATATACCAGGATAGTGATATTTTCGAAATAAAATAATTTTATTTGTGTGAAACGTGTCGAAGCAATAGTGTCTACTGCGATGTGCTAGAGTCAAACTTGTGTCTAGTGGAAATCAAAGCCAGAACCACGTGCACGGGTGTATAATATATCTGATTCGGTCACGACGCATAAAATTATGGAAGTAATAATTCAATGGATACTTTTATATATCTTAGTTTTGATTAATTTGAATTGCTTACATTTTTATTATACCATCGTATTTTGAATTTTGAAAATTACATTTCCGTCATTCGATAGAGGTTCAACCTCCAGTCAACGGGGCACTACCCGCCGGTGAATTGTCCTGATGTGAAATAAACACTGCTGTCCTTCTAATACACATATCAATTACTCGTCTAATAATTAAATTATTAAAGAAAAACATTTCTAAAATATTATTTCACTCATATCCTAAAGCTAGTAATATTAACATAGACTATTTATACTTAGTTACTTTCAAGGATGTCTGTGTTGAACATTTCTTTTTGACTCATTTTCGATCGGGTCGAACTCTTGATAATTATTTTATCTTCCCAACTTACGAACTGGGCCAGTGACAACAATATTATTATCAATCTCTCGAAATGCCGAGCAACCATGTTCACGCGGTGAAATAGACATACACGCATCAACGAAGCACCCTCACGATTTAACATTGACATTCCATAGACAAAAGACGTTAATTACTTAGGTCTGACTATTGACCTGAAACTACTGTGGACCAAACATGCAATAAAGGAACGAAAAAAGCACACCGACTTCTTAATGCTCTGACACACTTTTACACATAAATATATCGACATGACAAAATTGTACATCTACAACACGTATATCAAGCCATTAGTAACATATTTCTGCGAGATCTGGGCGAAGAAATTCCAGATTATTTGATATTATCAAGACTAGACAACTATAATTAAATTTGTCTTCAGGCCCAAATCAGATCAATGCTACTTGACAATCAAACAAGACAATAACATTATTCTTCTAACGCCGTAAGTTAACGCTGCAGCCCAAAATAGAATAGAAAAAGCAATAGCCAACACCTTCCTAACAAAATTCATCAAATTTCACGTTTTCTTCCGAAACAGATTAATAGCCCACGATAGAAAAAAAGCACCCACTCGATATCTTCACCCTTCCAATTAAAACATAACCCATAGCCATAAGAACACAACTCATAGCCCTAAAATCCACAGCAACATTCCACTTTCAACAAAATAACCCGTCCATCACCGCCACATTACTCCATTATTCACCTCAATAACATATTTCAGTAGAGCCCTTGAGTGTGCGGACGTGCAGATGTTTTTGCCTTCCCGTCACTGGCGAAGACTACTTCCCGTGCACCAATTGAGACGTATGAGGTGTCGTTCGAGTCACGGGTTCCCTGATGGAGAACTGATAATTTGTTTTCGGATACCGCTAGATTTAAAGAAATTTCCAAAAACCTGTTGTTTCGTGTTTTGTCGCTACATTATCCTATTGATAATGCCAGGACTTAAAACCCCAACTCCTAAATCGATCTATGTAGGTGACGTTGATTAAATATCAGAACCCAAAGGCAATTTTTGCTTAATACGCCATAATTTCCTTTCACTACCTTCGCGCTGCAGTTTGATTTCAATTTAGAGATGAATTATTATCGTTAAAAAAAAAAAAAAAAATTGCGAATACCTTCATCAAAACTTATTGAACTTGAAGAATTTCAAGTGAATATGGAGAAAAAAAAAACTAATTCAAGATAATGAATTTATGTTATGCATAACTTCGCAATTTTACGCTCCTACATAAGTGTGCACATACTTTTCAAATGAATGTGCCCCCAACTATTATTATTCAAATTAACCAACACTTTATTCCCATAAACATACCTTTTATGTTAAACATAAAAACACCTTTTAATGTTAGATCCACACACAACACAAGATTTAGATTTATTTCCTTTAAAAAAAATAGTAATAATAATTATAATAATTTACTCAAAAAACAGTAATAACTGTACGTGACGTATGGGGAAGTTCAAGATTCACATATAAAACAACTAATAGAGCAATTGCAGAAGTAGAAGTGAACACAAATTAGACAGAGTTCGTGAAGTTTTAATATCTTCAAAAATTAAGAGAGAAAAATATGAAAGTTTTAAGAAAATCCAAGCAAGAATCAAATTAAGTTGCAAAAGATGTTGCGGTAGAATTTTCGGAACTACTTTGGAATGATCTGTATTTTTGAATTCAGCATTTGTGTTAATGCAAATGTGCTATGTGCATTTTTTTTGCGTATTGCCGAAAAGTGTAAAAACGTAGCTGTACTAAAATTTAACTATTAGCATCAAAACCCGCATGTATTTGTTACGGCGATTATATTGTGAAATTGCAACGAGTACAGTTCATAATCCCATATGAACGTAACACACAAGGCCATTGGGTGTTGGGAACTTTTGAACGGGAGTATAACATTATCAGCTACTATGAATCATGGGGAAGTGTAATGCCAAATACTGCAAGAACATATTTAAGCAAAGCTGGGCATGAAAGATATGAAGTACGAAAGAAATTTTGAGCATATGAAACTATTTTTGAAAAATGTTTACAGTGTTGCTGACGTCTCATTTTGCTAGTAAACCTATAACTCTTTTATCCTAAATAAAATAACATAATTTCCCCACTAAACCCTCAACAAAATAACCATTATTTTACAACCAAAATAAAAATAAGTGCCAATCCACCTAATCAATAAACAAACAATAACGCCTCACTTGCAATAAAAATAAATTTTCATTCCCACAACTGCACCCTCTCGCTGTCTTCGGTATATCTGTAGGAAGAGAAGGCAGTTTTTAAAAAACAAATTGGCGAAGCCCAGTGGTGGGCTGACCACAAAAAAATATGAATAGCTTCTTCAAGCATCCCTGTCTATAAATCGTCTGCAAGGAAAGAACGTAGGCTCTGCTTGTTGTCTGCAAATAAGATGCTATGAGCGATGCCCACCATATCTGAACACCGTCTGCAAGCATTCACTTCCGAATCTGAATACCATCTGACTAAATCATAGTTCTTGAAAGACATATCAACTCCACTTTTACTTAACTTTTAACATTCTAAAATTAATTTTACAATTGGCCTTAATCCGTCTGCAGTCACTTATTCTGTCCTAATGCCTACAACACTTATGAGTCATGAAATTTGTGTTGAAATATCTGCATTTTATTCTCATCTCCAAGACGGCTACCATATGTCCTCTTTGTAAATGGATTATACTATTTATATATTGTCATTTCCAGGTTCCAATATTCTAAACTAATTTCTTCTTCCACGAAAGTCTATCCGGGTATGATGGAACTGCCATCACTTTAAATTGAAAAGTAAATATTTTCTAAGGGTTGTAACTACCAAAAACATTTTTTCGTGGAATTTTAGATTTATACCACTTTACATCCTTCGTAATAATGAAAAATATGTTTTTTTAATTTTATTTTCATTGAATGGCTCATGAATTTTCTCTGAAAATAATAAGGTATCTGGTTAGTTGGCCTAGGTAACGGAGCCTTGAAATTGCTTCAAAGGCTAAGCAGCTGTGCTAAGGCTAAGGCCAAGGCCCTACCACCTAAGTACACACGCACATGCTTCGCAACATGGGAATCAAGGAAAGTAATAGAGGGGCAACATTTCTCCTCTCTGAAACGCAAGCATTCGCAGTGAGAATTTTTTGTTGTTGTTGTTGTTGTTCACTTCCACTAAAACCTATGTAGAAGAAAATAAAAACACTGATATTAAGTATTTCTTTATTTATTCACAAAATACACACTTGTTTAGAAAATTTCACGTATTTACAAATAAAATACAACATTCAATTCCATTTTCCTGTCATTCACTCAGCATTCTTCCTACAATTGTGACAAATAACACAGTAAATAGAACTTTACAATATATGTCAATTGAAAAGCCAAATAAAAATTATAATCTGTCTTGCAAATTGTCATTTCAAAAACCAAATTAGGGAAAGTCATTACAGATTTGGAAAAATTTAACCAAAATTAACTTAAACAACGATAAAATAAATCAAGTAACATTTCTAAGAATCACATAGTGACTTATCGTCCAGATTATAAATATCATTTGGCTCTTCTTTAATATATTTATCTACAATACTGAGATCATATTCAAATAATTTCATAATATAATATGAAAGACACTAAAAACAATACCGAGTCAGTACGACGACACTTACCATGGAAGAATGGCTTCTAGTTTTACAAGTATAAACTAGCAGCAAAAACAATATCTCTCTTAATCAATTTTATGCCTTCACTGAATTTATTTTCTAAGTCTGTATTGCCAATATTTTTTGCAGCTTGGCATAACTGACGAAGGATTTCTTCAAGTCGCCTCATACAGCGAATAATACTCCCTGCAAAAAAGAAAAAAAATGAAATAAAGCCAGTCACTGATTATAAATTTACACTACATTAGCTTGAATAAAACATTACACTTTGCATTTTTTTTACAAATCAACACAATACTCTAAAATGTTTAATCAGACTTTGCAGCAGAAATCTCCAATCTAACTACAACAAGGCCAGTTTCAACACATTTTTTTGAACAGCCCCAAATCAACAATCTTTGAAAATCATTGCAACATTAAAATAATAAAATGAATTAAATAGAATAAAAACTAAATAAGGCAACAAAACGAACAAATAAATTGAGAAATAAAGTAAAAAAATCAGTTGAGATAATAAAAATAAGTGTTAAAGTTACAATTCTGACCTAGAAATACAAATATATTTGCTAATCTATTCTTTTCCATAGATTAATGTCTTCAGAGATTAAAAGTTTCTGATCTATTTTCTTTTTCTTGACAAAAAAAGTTTAGTGTTATAAAGATGAGCTTTGCTTACCCTCAAAAATATCTGTCATTTTGCATATTTGGAGAAATGATGCTCCTTTACACCAAGCGTGAATAACATCCATTAAAAATGGCTTAAACTGTTCCACATAATTTGCTTCATCCACATCAAGCTTGGCCTCTACACTAACACGTGCTATTCGCCGAGCAATTTCCTAAAATAAATAATAGTGAGTAAAACACACAGAAGTCAGCTCATACATAATACATGAGCCAACAGTAATAATTTAGAAATTAATAAATAGAGATAAAGGCCGCAATTCTTAGTTAACACTAAGGAATAGCCCATAAGTGTTAAATGTTTAATGAAGGCCACTTAAGAGACCTGCATTTCATAGATACTCCTATGAATGGATTTAGTGCTTTCTTAAATGATTGGAAATGGGGTTGTGTCATTCACACCAGCTTCTAAGTGGTTTCTTGGCCCCACCATTTTCACAGTTCATATTTTTCATACAAATAGCATCCAATTTGTCTTGTGCTCATGTGGTGCGAGTCAATTTTGTATCGTGTGTATTTTGGCATCAATATATTCGTATACATTTAACATCATAGTTAAGTTTTTTAATTTCACCGTTTCAACTTAAAACTAAATATTAATGGTATGAACTTAATGGTCATAATTAATAATAAAATTTCAGATGAACTCATTAATACCCTACATAATTATTTCCATTATAATAATTCAATATACACATATCCTTATATAATTCAATGATTGCCTAAGACTAAAATACCTTTTCGTAGTACTCACAATATGCTAAGTATAAAATACAAAATATTGTGTGAAATAATCAAAATTTTTCATAATAATAACCAATAATACAGAATTCTAGAAATATATGATCACCCAAGAGCTGTTTATAAATAAGTTCTGTTCACTTAAAGGAATACTCATTTCAAATAATAGTGAATTCATCACAGAGGCACTCACCTGCATTTGCCTGAGAGGTCCAGAGAGTTCTTCTGACAATTTTGGCATTTCATTTGCCTTCTCGTCACATACAAAACAACTTAATAAAGCGACGCATTGAGGTACATTCAGATCATTGAAAAGGTTATTGAAAATAAGTTCTGTCATCAAAAGTTCATCTCCACTGGACAAAAAAAGTATTTTGTTTAATAAAATATAAACAAAACATATTCAAGCACTGTGTCATTAACATTCCTATACCTGCTGAGTTCACAAGCAACACGGCCTTTCATTTCAATCACATCGGCTACTGTACAATATCCAAGTCTTCGCAAAACTCTTTTACGACATTTCAATTCATCCATTTGCAACAAAGACTTTGCTTTCTTAAGATCTTGCTTGGCTATTTTTAGAGTTTTCTCTACCTGTGACAAAGAATAAACGGGACATGGTGAAAAAAGCACACAATGCAACCATTGTTTTTAACAAGGCAAGAGATTTCGATAAGCTTATCAATCAGCTACCATTTTCAATTTATATGCAATAAATAGCTTACAAAGCAAACTTTACTAAAAACAAATGAAACAGAGAAAGGTGATGGACAAAGATAAGGGGCAGAAAAAGGGAAAAAGAAAAGAAAAATCGCACACACACACAATTGCTTCATACAAATTGTTTCCAATACCTCAACTTTGGCCAAATGCTTGGGATAAATATCTTCCATCTCTACACTATTATGTAGGGGATGTTCGTACAATCTTTCTTCAAACTGTTCTATTCTCTTCACAACGTCTAAAAATACAGGATCTTTAATATGCATATCTTTAACAGGATTAAGAAGAGGAATGCCTTTCTCAAACCGTTTTTTCACTTCCTGTAAAGAAAAATTTGCTCCCTATTTTATCAAAATTTATATAGCTTGTACATATTTCAAATAAACCACCTGTTCCCTCATTTCTCACCTGGATTGTTTTAAGAATATACTTCCTGTTATCTAGTGGTCTTAAATCTTTTGGATAATGTATCCGAAGTGATGAAATGTTATGAAGGAAATTGTGTTGAACAGGCACAACTTCTACATCGCCTGTTTGACCTGGAGGACATGGTGTTGGCGCACTTCCACCAACGATAAATTTGGCACTCTCTTTCTCACCAATAACATGTAGCAAGACATCTACCAGCAAAGTTGGAGCACTTTTTGCAGGATTTCGTTTCTTTCCTTCGTCATTGCTTTGTTTCTTAAAGTTGATGATAACACCCCAATCATATTCTTCATTCTCTGTCTTCACCTATACAGTAATAACAGCAAAATAAAACTTGGATCTCAATGCTCTGAGAGGATTTAAGACTTGTATAAGCCTCACCTTAACCAATCTGCCAGGCTGCAAAAATGGTATAAGATATTCAGGTTTTGTGATGAAAGTTTGAAATTGCTTTCCTAGTTCGTCTAATTGTTCTCTTATTCTATGGTAGGACGCTACTTGGGATTCCTTGGGGATTATCATTTTTTCAAGTTTTTCTTGAAGTTTCTGCACTTCTACAATGAATATTACAAAGGCAAGAATTTAAAATACATCTACAAATAAGTATCAAAACAATACCTAGTAAGCAAGTAAAGTCCTGTGGTTGTCAAAATTTCTGAGACTAACTCAATTATCTAGAGGAGCAGCTAAAAAACCGTGATTTATTAGTAACTCCACTTGCATAAATGGGTACTACCTACGAGTTGTCTGAATCTTCAAAATAAAATACATCTTTATGAAATTTTGTAAGGAATTAATATAATTCAAATTGCACTTTAAATATTACTCTTTGAAAAAAGCTTCAAAATAACATACTATAAATATGCATTAAGTAAGCATACTTTTTGTTTGAACATTAAAAATGATTACAACATTAATCAAAGATTAAAACATCAATAAAAATTGAACTTACTTTCATATAATATGGGTATTGATGACTGGTTTTGGAATTGAAAAAAGCTCCGTTCTAGCATATATTCTGGATTAATTTCTTCCACACGTAACAAATTCAGAACCATATTATAAGTTAAGTGAAATGCTGAATTTATTGGATCTGGCAATCCTTTAACTAGCTCACGACCAGCTGCTGGACTGACCTTCTCATCTATCATTAAAATCACTATTCCTTTTTCGTCCAAACCTCTGCGACCTGCTCGACCTGACATCTGAATGTATTCTCCAGACGTTAACTAAAAATAAAAGAATTTATGTTTTATTATGTTAGTATGCTTAATATACATAAATAAAAGTTGTATGCTTAATAAACAAAGATTAAAAGTTTTAAAGTAAAAAAAACTAAACTGAAGTCATAGAAGAGCTGAACTTACAAATCTAAAATCTTTCCCATCAAATTTACGAGGAGCACTGAAAAGTACAGTGCGGGCAGGCATATTCAAACCCATAGCAAAGGTTTCTGTTGCAAACAATGCCTTGATTAGACCTTCAGCAAACAATATTTCAATGGTTTCTTTCAAAATAGGCAATAAACCTGAAATTGAAGTTTTGTGAAACATTATCAATAGTTCTTAAAGAAACAAGTTTGAAATTAAAATCACAATGAAACAAACATCACTTTAGGAACATGAGGTGGTAGCCATTTTTTTATTCTCTTCCATAATATAATGATAACATAACATAACAGATAACAGTCAATAATAGATCAACAGATAAGATGGGACAAAACAAATAAGATGGGAAACAATTTTCTGAATTGAAAACTTAAGTTTTGTATAATTTTACAAAATAAATTAATGTATGACTAAATTTCTCTTGACTTGTTTTTTCTTTTTCTATCTTCAAAGAACTGACAACTATAGTAAAAAGTTCTTTAAGCATTATACTTCAAAATAAACTTACCACCATGATGAATTCCTATCCCTCGACGCAACAAAGGTAAAACATTTTCCACCTGAGGTAGTTTTCTATCTTGTTCGGAAAGAACATCCATTGCATTGTTGAATACTTCATCAACTAATTTTTTTTCTTCAACTGACAAACAAAACATGTTTTGGCAAATAATAAATTTGGAAAACAATCAAACTCAATGCAGTTTATACATAAGAGACTATAACTGTTTCCTTGTTCTTGAATTCCATTACATTCTCAAAAGGGTCTCATTCTTTGACTGCATATGCATTACGTTCATGTATGAGTAATAGTACAGTAGGTGGCCAAATTATTAGGTACTCTAATTTGTGTAATTTCTAGCTTAAATGTTTTTTTAAGCAAAGGATTTGGTTCTGATAGGATTTATAGTATTACAGTAATCATTACTATTGTTTATAATAAGACGCTATACTGGATGCCTACATTACTCAAGAGAATTTCATTGCAGTTTACAATGTAATGTACGCACCTCGAATTTTTTAATTTTTAGTAGAGTAATGTTTCAGATATGTCTCCAAGAAAAATTTGAGAAATACAAAAACTATTACTTCACTCTACACATTGACAGAGAGATATAAACAATTTGGCAGGTATTTCGAGAACTGTCCTTAACAGAATAATAATAAAAATTGATCTGAAAAAAACCTGGAAGCACCCAGTGTGGGTAAAGGACACAGGAAAAAGTTCATGTCTTCGTACCGATCGTAGAATCAGGGACTTCTGCCTCAAAAATCATGAAGAGAGTGTTACCTGTGTAACGATAATGATAAATACCAAGAGAGTAACAATTTCGAAAAGGATAGTTTAGAGACGGTTAGCCAAAGAGAGCCTGATTGGTTGTCGCCCTCAAAGAAACCCATTCCTCGCCCAGGCCATAAAGAACCGACTACAACAGAAACATGACTGGTGCAGACTGAAGTCAAGTAATACAACCTTTCCATGTATTTAAAGCACTAGAGCATTTCTTCAATAATGTTTTTTTGTAACACTTTACAAGGTATGCTTGTCTGATGAATCCTTGTCTCAGATTTTGGCCGGCTAGAGACTATTTGTCTACGATTACAGTGTAGGGATGCGACATTAATGTCAATGTTTTCAAAACATCGATGTTTTAGTAAAATCATCGATGACTTTAAACATCGATGCATTAACACCGACGTTTTTTCTTTCCTGATGTTTTGTCTCTGAATGAAGAATTCCCTTAATCACAATACTGTAAAAGTTAAAGTATGAAATAACACTGATCATAACATTGTTAATTCATGTGTCAGAAGGAAAGGTAAACTGTACGTATTGTACTACCTTCATTGACCAAAGTCTCTCGCCCTAGAAGACCTCATGTCCTTGTATTTCATCATTCATCATATTCATTTTACATATTGAGATCTGGTCAACAAATTAGCTGTGGGCTGTTGGGTCTGCCCCATTTTTACATACAGTTATCTGGTGAATTGACAAAAGATCGGTCAAATTTAATATTATTACCCATAAATGTAATGTTAGAGGTTACTAAAGCAGCTTGAAAACATTGATGTTAACAAACATTGATGGATGTTAGTCGATGAATTATTAAAATCAATGTTTTAATTTTCAACATCGATGTTTGCTAACATCAATTTTCTTTATCAATGTCACATCTCTATCTTAGTGAAGGGTATATGGGGGCACCTTTACATCATAGAAGGGACAATGAGGCAAGACCAGTACAAGCCAGTACTAGGAACACTGTTAATGTCACAGCTCAACGCTTGAAGAATGGTGATTAAGCCTGATGATTATGCTCTGGTGATTAAAAATACATTGTTATGCATGATTCAGCATCAACACTAGGAGAATTACTGCATCCCTGTAGGAAAAAGAATTTAGATTTCTACAGAATCACATACATACCATTATTGAAATCCAATCTAGCCATCTGCATGGCATATACTTCACAATCTTTTTTACTGAAGCTGAATATTATTACAGGAGCAAACTGGCGTTCCATTATCATTTTCACAATCTTGTATATGTTAGTTTCTCCTTTGAAACCACCTCGACGTCCTTTTTGGTCTCCTTTTGCTGCATCTCCTGCATTCTGCAGGACAGTCATGGCCTTGTTGAAGTTATCTTCCTTGAACTGGCCCTGCAACAAAATAATGCAACAATCTCATTTATCTCTTTAATTAGAAGTATTACAACTTTCAATTGTTGTTGTTGACATTACAATTAAAAACTAAGAAGTAACTTAAGCATAAAAAACAATAAAGGAGAGAAATATGGTGTTATCACAACACTTACTTCCTTAATATTAAAATAATGGTTGAACCCACAAACATATTTCCAGCCCAGTTGAGGAATTTATCCACTAACCCTTCTGATCAAATGCACAAATTGGGGTCTTATGGTGGCCTACTGCAATGGCCCAAATGGAACTCAACTTCACTAGACTGTGTGATCGCAAGTGAGCATTTCCCCTCCTCTTGGGTTAACACTACAAGCAGTGAGCCACACCGAAGGTCTCCATAAGCACTGGGCCAGGGTATGCTAAAAGGGCAGCTAACTTGAGTAACTCTAGAATAAGCTGTCTCGCTTGTGCATTTGAACAACCCTCTCAACATATCAAAAAGAAAGAAAGTTTTGCAATTATTATTGAAATTTCAGAGGTATTAATGAAAATCAGCCCAATTGGAGTTTTTAATCTATTAAAAATCAAACATTTCTCTATCCAAGTAAAAGAATTAAAGAAAAATATATTCTGCAGTTTTTGAAAAAAATCTTGTTGGAATAATTTTAAAAAATTGCCTCTTTTCCATTCAAAATTATGAAAATTACTTTAACATTATGTATGTATAGATGGATTCTATTATGACAACTGTCTATTCCAAAAGGCATGGGGGAAAGTTGAGAAATACTTATAACTTTGTAATTTCCAAATAGTCAGATGTTTCACTTAAAAATGGACCTGCACAGTTATTATAAGCATACTTGACTATTTGAGCAAAAACAAATTGAAGGGAACATTTGGAGCTATTATTGAAGAAAAAAAATCACAATTTGATTTGGTCTCGATTTAAAAGCGTTGTTACATGTTATATACATGCAATGTAAGAGAGTTGTATATTTCGAGTAATTATAACTGAAGTTTAATCACTTCAATATTTATGCAAAAAATCTGTGTAATCAATGCCTAATCAATATCAATTCCAACAATCCATGCTATCAATACTAAAACTTTTCCATTAACCTAAATTTTATTTATTCCAATTTTCCATCCAATTTTTTTTTTAATTCTAAATTGTTTGAAAACTAGGTTAATGACCTTTCTGGAAAAAAGTAAATTATTACCTAAAAAGCAATATGGCTTCGAAAATAATGAACTAACCTGGGAAGATTTCATGGAAGATCTCAATCTAGCTAATATATTTACACGGTGATCCAAATGATAAGAAAGATTTCATGAATTCTGTCTTCAGTAATAGACAGATCAACGGTGATTGTGAATGTCCCTCATGTTGCCAAAATGTCCTATCTTTACATTACTTGGAAGTATCACGTAGTTGCCAGTTGCTATATATATCTACCCACTCTCTTCAAGAAGCAGCAATGTAGAGCCAAGGGTCAAGTTTGTGTATGAAGTATTTTTGGAATTTTTAGTTATTCTGTTAGGAATTCCGTTCTTCTGAACTACAACCGGGCCCACAAGGCTATGATGATGTTAAAGAGTAACTATACAAGATGACTGACAATTGTGACCACTTAAATTATTTTTTTGATACTGTGGAGAATATGGATATTCAAATTAATCAAGAATTGCTAAGTATAATATTGCTATATACTTTGTCCTCACGGTGTGAAAATTTCAGGTGCGCCATAGAAACAAGGGATACATTGCCAAGTCTGGACATTCTTCGAACCAAAATAATAGAGTGACACAGAAATCTAACCAACAACGTGAAGCACCGGATGCCATGTTTGTGAGAAAGAGCAAAGGAAAAAACAAAAGAAAAACACGATGGATTTTAAGACAGGCAAAAGCCAAGACAATCGAAATGGTGCCTTGAAATTTGTGTTTTAATTGTCATAAACCAGGATAACAGAAATTGCAGTGTAGATTTCGGAAGAGAAGTGACGAACTGAATCAGGGCAACAATTGGCACAACTCACCCACGATTTATGTTTACAGTAGTGGAGGCAGTCGATCACGAGTCATTCAACTTGTTATCCTGAAAGTTGTGTCTGGGCAGCGGTGCCACTGTGCATTTATACAGAGATGCAGACAATTTTATGGAAATTGAAATGTAACCGACAGGATCTTTGAGCTTGACAAATGACACTTCTATGAGGATAGTAGGAAAAGACGCCATGCAATTTTGAACTGGTCACAAGAAGAAGGTAATGCTCTTGAACTTATCACATGTTCCAGACCTCAGAACAAATTTGCTGACTGTTGCAAAATGACAGATCGTGACCTTGAGGTAATATTCAACTAGAAAGTTGCAGCGGGGCAGGATGCTGGTGGCGATATCACATTGTATGCTGACTATATGAGCGACTTTTATTTTATACGTGAGCATGAAGAGAGTGCTTCATCGGCCCATTCACTTGATTTAGATCTCCAGCATCAGCAACTAGGTCATGCTAATATCCCTGATATCTTGGAGGCTGTGAAAAGTAAGAGAATCACAGATGTTCAAGCCAAGAACCCTGTGAATAAAGTAAATTGTGATATTTGCTTGATGGGTAAGATGTCCAGGTGGCAGTTTTCAAAGAAGAGGAGGAAGAAGAAGAGGTCGAAGGAGAGGAAGAAGAAGAGGAGGGAGAAGAGGAGGAGAAAGGAGAGGAAGGCGAAAGACACGCTCAGTGAACTACAGATGGGCGAAAAAGTCTTTACTTAAGAAGTCATTGTATGGCTTGAAGTAGGCAGGAAGGAGCTGGTACATGAAACTGAGTGAGACCTTAAAGAACTTCGCCGCTAAGCCGTGAGCATCAGATACTTCTCTGTTCCAGATGGGTTCAGGTGAAGATGTGACCTTGATACCTATGTTGATAACATCTTGGCCGCCTCCAGGAATCAGAAGACAATCTCTGAACTTGGGAAGGTCTTGTTCAATCATTTTTAGGTCAGACTTGAAACCGGCGAAATATTTCCAGGTAATTAAGCTTATACAAGATGAGGTACTATTTGCTAAGCACTAGCGGATACACATGGAAGAACTTCAACTTTGGATATGAGTAACTGCATTCCTGTATTAACTACTTTGGATCCTGGTAGCAAGTGGACCAAGAAAGTGAACCCAAGGAACGAGTTGTGCTTACCATATGATGAACTGGTGAATGCACTTACCTGGTTGTCAACAACAACTCGCCCAAACATATCTTCTCAGCATCTTATCTAGAGCAGTTCGACAAATTCTATGGGCATGAGCACTGAAAGGCAGCAAAGAGTGCTACACTACCTGAAGAGTACAATTGATGTTGGACTTGTTTATGAAGATGTCACTGAACCAGTTGTTGGGTTCGTTGATTCCAAACTGAAGATCTTACACCGGCTATTTGTTCTTGGTAGGTGGATGCACCATATCTTGGGAATATCACAAGCCGAGAACTGTAGCCTTGAGTACAACAGAGGACAAGTATATGGCCTTGTCAGACTGTGCAAGAGCTGTAGATGTTGCTACAAGAGTTAGGTTTTGAATATTTTACTAGATTACCTATTTTCTGTGACAATCAGAGTGCAATGAATTTAGCCAATAACTCAATGTACCACAGCAGTATTAAGCATATTGATTTACGGCATCAAAAGTTCACGATATGTTAGAGAAGAAAATATTTATGTTAAAACATGTATTGACAAACAAACAGGTAGCTGATTTCATAATCAAATGTTTAAGTAGGGTCAAACATGAACCTCGTATGCGAGAAGCTGGTCTAGAGCAAATATAAGTAACGTGAACCTCTACTCAAGGGGGGGGTCTTCTTCTGAATTACGTATACTGTGTCAAGTCTTTAAGGGCTCGTTATTCAGTGATGCCACCATAGGCAGAGTGGAAGTTCTTAGGCTTAAGTGTTTTAAACGCTTTTCTGGGTTCAGTGCATATATGTACACACACTTGTGGTTTAATCATTAAATAGGGTTTATAGAGTCAACCTCTTGAATTAGCATATTATTTCCTCTAACAGACTCCTTAGTCAAGCTGTGCATTTGTGAGTACATTAAGCGATGAAAAATCTCAAGAACTGCTCTAAGTTAGATCATTGTGTGCTGTTTGTTTTTTCTTTCGTGGTTTTGACTTGTGGTGCCATGAGTGCTCTCAAACTGTTGCAGCAATAATCATGAATTCCATGTAAGGGTGTCTTCATTACAAAACAATTTAATTTTGAGGTAGATGAAACTTGCCAACCTCGCATATTTCAAAGAATAGTGTACCAAGTCAGAAATGTCATGCCAAATCCTTAACCTCATTAATTCTAAATAAATAGTGTAAATAAATTATTTTGAATTTTAAAACCAAGAAGCATTCAAAGAATACAAAATTTCACAAGTTCTTTGTCCCTATGAAAACTTTAAAATATATTAACATGTCCAAACGGCTTTACAACCAGAATTTTATTGTAATATTCTCAAAAATAGCAATATTTTTCAGTGTACCTCAGTGCATTTTTAAATTTCTATGACCGTGCTAGCAAGTCAAAATCAAAATTTGTGCAGTTACCATGGAAATATTTTCCATTAAAATTGGAAACATCTGTGAACCACATATTGCTCACAGGACAGTACTAACAAAAAATTAAACATTTTCTTCTTGTATAACAATATAAATAAATGTCTTTATTGATGGCGAGGCTCAGGCCATTTAGCCTGCTCCTCCGCCTGACCAATGTTATGTAGACACTTTTATCACTGCAATGTTACAGTCAAAGTGCCAAGCTAGTTAATGTCAGGCACAAATTTAAAGAAAAAATTCCTTTTTGAGCAAAAAGAGCCTTATTGAGTCAATTTTGAAAATGTCCATGGGGGCATCATGTTAAGTCCCCCCCCCCCCAAAATTAATGTTTTTTCAAAATTGCTGTGCTTCATCTCACGCCAAATGGACAGAAGTTTAATCAGTTTGGAAAAAACTGTCAGCCTAGTTTAGGTGCTAGTGTTGTTCATATACACCCGACCGGCACCCAGACAGACAGATAGTTTTTCTATGAACCAATTTTTTGGTATTAAGGACCCACAAAATAAAGATTCTGGCAACATGTGCTAGAGGATTTTCTTCTTAATTTAGCAACTGAATTTGTCCTTTTTTTGCAATGGGCTATTTGCTCGGGGTTCAGCAATTTTTTTTCTGCCGAAAATCCACCGATTTCTTTGCGCAGTATTACATAACTTTCTCTATGCTATGTACATGAGAAAGTAAGATAGACATGCAATTCAATTTTTTCACACTGTAATGGACATCATGACAATATGCCTCTTCACACAGCTTAAAAACCTACAGATTTTGTATTAGAGGGTAGTTATTAAGGGTAGAGGTTTAGTTATTAACTTCTGGAACACAACTTCGAAAAGAGCAATATCAGCATATCAGAAATGGTTTCAGAAAATGGTCAAACGTATAATTCGGGGGGAGAGAACTTTGGAAACAAAGGTGAGAATAAATTTCCTCTCTTTTGCACCATTTCCAGAAATGTTTGGAGTTGCCCTCATATATTCAGATTAATCTTTTTTAGGGGTAGTTTGAATTTCAATTTTCCCCAGAATTCGAAACTGCTTAATACTAGGAAAGTTATTACCCCCGTTACAAATTACTCCAAAATTCAATATTTCATTATTTCACCTACACGCTCATCCACAACCAGATGAATTCCATCCCCTCCAGCAGGAAAAATATAATGCTGCAGTGGAACAGGTCGATAGTCAGTATACACAACGTGGCATGGTTGATGATGAAGATGTGCAACCCACTCAGCAAACTGACGAGCATTAGGAATTGTGGCTGACAGGAACACATAGTGAACATTATCTGGAAGAAGAATCAAAGTTTCCTCCCAGACGACACCACGTTCTTTATCTCTCATATAATGTATTTCATCAAATACAACCCAACCAACTTCCCTCATTACTTCAGAACCTCGGTAAAGCATATTTCGCAAGATCTGTAAAACAAAAGAAATACTAAATTATACATTTCATGAAACAACTACTAACTTTAGCTAAAGATTTTACAAAATTTCTTGTAATTGAATCACAATTCATAATATTTGTGGTATTTTTTTCTTTATCAATTTTGAAAATGGGTTGAAAACAAAAGAAAGTCATGTAAAAGTACTTTTTATGACAGTTAGCAAAGCTTCCTAGTGAAGACCACTGTTTATTAAAGAGTGTGTTGTTTTACTAGTTTATAATTAAAAAGGAAGTTAAATAAGTAAAAGTAATGCTGGAAAACTTTATACTTAAGGAGACCACTGAGACCAAAACAACTGTTTGGAAAAGTATTCTAGTATTGTCAAACTATCGGTATGAAAATAATTCTACTGAAGAATTAGCATTTACCTCTGTTGTCATGATAAGACAACTAGCAGATGGATTTATAGTGACATCTCCCGTCACTAAACCAACATCTCTGAATTCCTCATGAAACTCACGATATTTTTGATTGCTCAATGCCTTGATAGGAGTTGTGTATATCACACGCTGCTTATCACGCAGAGACATGGCTATGCTGTACCTATTTACACAAACTTCATGAATTTAAAATTACAATCTCTCTCATGCTATTTAAAATAAAATAGAATTACACTTACTCTGCAACAACAGTTTTGCCAGCAGAAGTATGAGCTGAAACAAGTACTGACTGATTATTATCAATGCACAAGATTGCCTCTTTTTGAAATGGATCAAGGATGAACTTGTATTCTTTTGCAGCTTTTCCAGAATTTGCTTTCAATGGTATATATTCAGCATCTGGAGGAACTGCTACTTCATGTACACATGCCTCTAATGTTTCTACTGTGTGTATTTTTATTCTGGTCCGAAGTTCATCAATACTACAAACAAACGAAACCACTAATTAAATAACAGCTATACTTAACAGTAACACTCCATAATAAAATACATAAACATGAAATTGCCATTCATATCAAAATTCACACAAACAATACTCTAGAACTTACTCTCATGTGCAAAAAAAGGTAGAAATGTAATGCTTAAATTTATTGCCAGAAAATTTCCTATATCAAAAGATGGTCATTAATTCGTAAGTTACCCATTACCCTTCAGTTAGACATTAGACATCAGTAATAAATAAAATAATACATTATAGAAGAATACTATTTGAGATTCTTAACACACATTAGAAAATTCTCAACTGAAAATGAACACAGGTTTACACCAAATATTCTAACAGAAGGGAGCAATCTACTTTACACCAAGATATAGATGACTCAATCGGACAAAACTGATGTTAAATAAATGTCTTTTGCAAACCTATGTTGTTCGTCTATTTGGAAAGATATCCATGAATAACTGCGAAGTTTAGAAAACACATCCAATAGCTCACAAAAGCGCTCAAATAAAATGGCCAGACAGACAAATGACAGACCTGACCCCTGAAAGTGCAGTATCTAGTACATTATTATGATTTTAAAAAACTGTGCAAACCTCAAAACTTTGATCCTCCTACAGATACTATTATTTAGTTTCTGGCAAAATACATTCCAAATAGAGTAGAGAATACAGTACACTCTAGAGAAGTGAGCAGAGGAAGGTGGAGGACATGATAATATATAAAATTGTATACATTCGGGATCTCCTAAGATTGTCAAAAAACGCAAACCAATAAAAAACTGAAATCACAACTGTATAAGGTGATATTATGCACAAATATCTACTCATTATCGAGTATAAGTATGTTTGTGTGCATGTGTGTACACGCACTCGCGCATGCATGCACACGCGCCCACACAGATATATAACAATTCTGACACAAACCAGATTAAATAAAACTATTCCAAATTCCTTCATTGATATGCCAGGATTTCCTGTTTTTAGAAATGATAGCAAAATAGAAGAAGAGACATTGTCATGTTTTGTATTAAGAAGTCTATTAAAATCGAATAAATTCAGACTAAATAAAAATTATGAAAATCTATTGTTGGAAGAAATATGGTTAGGAATATTAGAAGGAATATTCAAATAACTTCCTAACTATCTTTGTTAGGATATATCAACCGACAACCTTTATCTACAGAAGAACACATGATATGCTTTAAATATATGCACAAAAATTTGATGTGTGAAATCTACCTAACTCCTTGATAAATTGACATTACTAGATACTGAAATACCACGTTCTGATTTTACATTTTTGAAGAGTTTTGTTTGTCATTAAATCTTACACAAGTTAATGTTAAGGGGCCACCGATATTTCTTCAAAGCAACACTTGATTTGAAACTCACAGGTGAAGACGAAACAATCGCTATTCTAAATTATTACCCACAAGTGGAAAAAAGAGGCTCAATGTTGGAAATAATTCAAATCCTAGAAAAAAATTAGCATTGAAGTTCTAACTTACACAATGTATGAACAGAGGAAATTTCTGGAAAACAGATTTCATAGAAACTGATAGGGCATTATGCAACAATCCAACCAAAGAACTAGTCTGCAAAAGAAATAATAAAAACTTGTGGGAAAATTTTCAAAAATTTTTTTGACAAAAAAATTTCTTTCACAAGAAATAACAAAGTTGTCATCACTAAATCTTGGATAACACAAAAAAATAATGAGAAAAAGCATGGGAGATGCAAAATTTTAGACACTAATAAAGCTTTGAAACATACAAAACCTTGAGAAATCTATGTACATAAGAATCAAGAGTGGGATAGAAAATCTTTTGAAGAATCATTAGGTCCAAATGAAAATGTGAAACTATTTTATAAATATATGAAGTCAAACTTCAACAAAATTTAATTTTCCTGAAATAATTTAGAACTGCCAATATGAAAGAAATAGCTAATATTCCTGCATACCAATTCTGTAAATCTTTTCGAGGGAAAATGACTTAAATATAACTATAATCAGTCAATAAATCAGGCAACTGATATCAACTTCGATGTTCAAACAGTTAGGAAAATTTCACTTGACTAGATTGAAACTTGTGCAATGGTACCTGATGAAATACCCATAATACTTTTGAAAGATGTCTAGGTATTTTAAGTTACGTCTTCTCACAAATAATGAATTTATCACTTTATGTAACTGAAGAAAAACTAGAGAACAATTTGCTAACCAAGGATTGGAAAATGGCTTATAAAATACTGCTATATAAAAAGAGAGATACAAAACTAGAAGACTACAGACCTACATCTAACATCAGTAGTCAGAAGGAGAAAGTAATTGTGAAAACATTAGCCATTTTTAGACTATCAATAATTTAATTTCCAGTTCACAGCATGGTTTCCTTCCAGGCAGGTCATCTACCAATAACTTGTTGATTTGTTGGTCAAAATGGACAACATATGAGGATGATATGAATAACTTATTGCTGTGACCTATTTATAGACTTCAAAAAATACTTTAATTGTGTATAAATGGTTACATGTGAAGTTGGATCACATTGGTATCAGAGGAAAACTTCTAAAATGGATAGCTTTCTTGACAGCTTGAAAATTCAATGCTAGAATTGGAAAATAATTATCAGATACACATAATGGTCGGAGTAGGGTTTCACATCCCGTACTTTTTACAATTTACACGATTAATTCCAATGCAAAAAATTGTTTCTAAGATTATCTCCTCTGCAATAGACACCAAAAAAGGCAACAAGAAACAAACTTCTAGAAGATTTAAATAGAATTTTAGCCTGGAAGGAGAAATTGTTACAACAACTGAACAGTGGAAATAGTAGTTCATCATGTAAAAAACAATACAATGAATGAATACTATACAAATTGTATGAAACTTTTAGCAGTCGATGGACAGAGAGACCAGGCACTATAATATCAAATGACTTGAAATGGAATCCACACTATGTATACATCACAAAACACCTAACAAAGTTCTAAATGTGTTAAAGAGATTGTTCAAGTTTCTAACTACAGATCTATTTCTAAATTTACATAACAGCTATGTTTGAGCGACACGAGTTTGGATTCATCATATGGTCACCTCACAAAGCTACAGATATTTTACATAAAGAGAATATGCAACATAGAGCTACTAAATTGCCTCTGTTTTTAAATTTGATATATGTAAATAGGCTAGCATTCAATAGAATATTTGACTTATGTCAATAGAAGCAGTGACACTATCAACCTTGGAGAAAACAAAACGACTGGATCCAATTGACACACATGATATCCTAACCCACAAATGTGATAGTCCAGAATGGGTGATTTTTGAAATAAATAAAAAAGCTCACTTAAGAGGGCATCAATACAAATGAAAAATAACTAAACTTTTTTTTTAATTCAAGGAAACACTTCCTGAGAATTGTTTTAACTTGGAATACAATACCACAAAAGGAATAGAAATAGAAAAAATATACCGATTTTCATTTGATACAGTATTGACATTCTAGCAGAAATAGTTCAATGTTTATAAATAAATATAATGCGTGTACACTATGAAAATTTGTTATTTATGTACAATAATATTCTATTGACAATAAACTGAATCATAATAAATAATCACAATAAACCAGTTCATAATAAATAAATCAAGTGTACATCTATGTTTCAGTATTATTGAGCCTGACTATGAACATGTAGCTTGATTAACTTACTTGATATCATCTAATATTGATTCCGTCTTAGCTCTCTTTCCACCAATTTCACTGTTGTCATCATGTTCCCGTTTTGATAAGATTGTATTAGAATTTCTGGTAGGTGATCTGAAACAAAAATTGAAAAATAATCGCACACAATAAAACGTGTAGCATTTCAAATGCATGTGCATCCTTTACATCACAATATAGCTAATAACATTAGAACATCAGCAGATGCAACAATTACTATTCTGATTGGCACATTGGTGTCAAATACACTTTTTTAATAATAATTTTAAAATTCTACCACTCTCTTCCTGACAGCTTCTAATAACAATTTGTAACATTTCTGACAGTCAATATAAGTTTAGCAAACTATCATTACGCATTACAATTGATACTCACTCTATGTCCCCCGAATCTATTACCATTACTGGAGATTCTTCTTTAACATCCACACACGGTGTATCGGTAGAAGCTGCATTGTCTTCTTCGAAAACATTAAAAATATCGTCACTGAAATTCGCCATTACGAAAAACAGAATCTTTTAAGGCTCAATAAAATTATATACGTTATCGTGACAGAAACACTCAAATTAGTCCTCACAAGAGCACTCGGTCTCTTTCAAATTGTAGTAACAAAACCTTAGCACATTCTTCGCTATCACGCATGGATCAACCACAATCAACACATGCGTAGTATGGCGGCCGACGGCCATAATACAATTGTGTTACCAACCAACGTCAACCAAAGAGAAAATATCGCTGAGGCGACTTTCAGTTGTTACTCAAATAGTTTCTATGTTATATCACAAAGAAGCAATGATGGTTTGTTACCGAAGGGTTAAACTTCGTGAAACAATTAAAATATAAAAAAATTGCTACACTCGAAATTGGTTTTGAAGTTGAATCTCTTATTCATCCAGATACCATGCGACGGTAAATGGGACTTGGTAATCAGTGCAGCCACCTGAAGGCATGCTATTCCGTGGGAATTCGCACGCAACAAAATAAGGTTATGTACCGCAAATGTTTTGTCGCAGGTTTTTTCATTTATTAAAGTGAACTTTTAATAAGTGGGTAAAAAGTATTATTAAACCATTATAACTTCAATACATCGTTCGTTCATTTACGTCTTCATTTGTTAAATTAACCAAGTACCCTAATGTAATTTAAGATCACGTGTAATTGCTGCCCTCAGAAAATCATATTTCCATACCAGCACTTTACTTTTATTCAATTACGAACTGTCGGGATGGGGTTACATTCTAAAAATTTAACTAAGATTTTAAAAAGGTCGCAATGTCTAGCTCATGTCGATTTTACATTTTCTTATTTTAACCTAATATTTTATCCTAAAAAATTTCCCATCGTAAAAGATTGGAATTTATATAAGTACCATAGCCACAATAGACATTTAATCATTTTTCCACTTTAATAAAAAATCAAAGCCCTAAAGCAAATTTTGACAGTTGAATACAGAAATTGGTGTAACAGCAAAAAACCAGTGAACCAACTTAATTTGAATATTAATCACGTTTCGACTCAAATAATGAATGTCCCAACAGGGAATCAAACCCAGATATGGTATTAACCCACTTGCACAATACATAATTTGTAAGTCACACCATGTTACAGGAGGTTGCAACAGTTACGAGAATCACTACTCATCCACATAATTGTTAATCTTCCATCTGTGATTAGGTGGTAAACTGTATAAAACTTGTTTTCCTTCTAATATTAAAACTAGCAAATCTTTCAACTGTCATTTTCGTTTTTTCTTTAATTAAAAATTGAACTTGTATTGGTCTAGAATGAATTGTGTTTTGTTGTTTTAAGGGGTGAACATGCTGGTAGACTTTCATAGAAATTTACTCTGGAGAACACAATGTCAATACTCAAAATTGTGTAGGGTTTTAGTACCAATTTATTTTAATAGTTATTTGAAAAACTTACCTCTTTTTTAAATGATGTAAAGAATATTAATGGAATATCATCACAACAGCTCTTCAAACAAATTCATTAACTTGGTAAAAACACCCCCGTTTAATATTCTTCCATCATTCCCAAAACATGACTTTTATGCAAATCAAAAATCAATACACAATTTAAGAACTACTCTACACTAAGTAATTAAAGCAGGTGTATCAAGAGTTCAATAACAACAAACAATTTGAATGTTTCAGTAATAGCTGTACATCCATCACAATGCTCATTGCAATATACAACAAACTTATTGTAATATCTGAATATGCACAAGATCTTGTATAATACTTCTGTCAGATTTAACAATATAAAAATTAGCAGAAAGTCTTGTACAGTAATTCTCATTTAGCAACACGATGCACAAGAACATTGATATCGCTTTTCATCATTCACATCCAATTAATTGTAATGTTTTGCAATATTTTCAAGAAATCTATATCGAAAACTCTTATTTAATTTCTAATTATTACAGATCCAAAGCCATTAATGCTTTATAAATGATTCCATAATTGTATCAGCCAATTTGACTTGTTCATTACATTGAAACATTTACAAAGACTTTTACATGGTTGTCCATCTGTGGCTCATTTAATCACTGAATTATTTATTCCCCCTACTCTTTGAATTTCTCTAACTCTGTTCTCACTCAATCCATTGTTCATACTGATCTTTCTTCATTTGCAACACCCTCATTTAATCTTTTTCCTATAATTATGTGTTTGAAATTGAAAAAGATCAATGAGGAATTGCTGAGGAACATTACTAAATTTTACTGTTCATTGCTACGTTGCACACTCACTGAACTTGTACACATCTTGATTTCTTCATCAAAATTGAGTAATTCTCACACTATCATGTAAAATTAGGATTATTCAATCTTTCTTTACATATAACCACAAAAGGGCAGCAACTGGGCAACCACAAATTCAAAGAATCTTGCAATTGCAATAAATGAATAACTTTACCACAATCTACAAAAGGATTTTGTATTATTATTAACATTATTCAAATTGTAATAAAAGTTCAACAATAAAGAGTTTTGATTTTATTACTGAATCATTTTCAAGTAGCAATATTTCCCTTCATATTAACAAGACAAAACTATTATTGGCATGTGTTTGGACTCAAACAACTGGATTTACAATGAGATACATACCAGATACTTATATAAAAAGCTTTCAAATCAAGTGAGATACTAAACAAGGCTTATGAGTACTACAGCTTGTCAGTTAAGCTGGACTGTACTTCTACACATTTTCTTTTGATTATTATATACAAAATGTTACAAATACAAGAAAAAAAGTACAAGGAATAAATTATGGTAGCAATAAAATGTAAACCAAAATATGCTTCAAGATCGGAGCATATTCGGACTTACTATAGGTATAATACACAATAATGTATTCACATTCAGAGGAATGCAAAGATGACAACTTTAAATTATGGATAATGTTTAATAAAATGCCACACCGTATAGCAAATGGATGACATAGTCTCATGTGAATTAGTTGAAAAGTTAACTTGAACTGCGTTGGCATCGTTTGACCATCAAACCACCAATATCAATGGAGACAGGGTATGGATGGATGCTGAAAAATCACCCAAATGCTAGTTTGACTTCTCACTGGATAACATGCTGGAAGTTCTGCATAGAAAAGAATAAGAAAAACTTCATTCACTAAAAGCATGACCATTTTCTCTTTGCATATGTACTTGGTTTGTAAATTCCTCTCTAGCTTGGTAAGAAGCACAGTACTCAGTCAAAAGTGCAAATAAAGATAAAGAAATTCAATTGCACTTCTTATGAATCACATTAGGGCTCTCTGAACTCCATATAAGACATCTTTCACTTTCTGTACAAGTCCTTTCATTCTGCGTTTGTAGTTGTGCCTGGCAAATCATTCACTCGCACCATTTAACAACACTGGCCACACAGTGACTACCTTCTCTCCATCACTCAATTCCACACTGATCAATCATTGATAGTCAGAACATTTCAGTTGAGTCTGCACAATACATGTAAGTGTATGTACGCCAAATTATAAAGCAGATGGCTGGTCTTGTATTTTTTAGCAGATAAATATTTACACGTATTTGCACAGAACTGTACTTGCCCTACAGTAACTGGCATGCCGCAATTACAATATCAGTCAACAGCTTGATATAAATTTGTATTAGGGGATAAATACATAACCTTTATCCAATATGTATAATAGAATCTAATGATAATCATTTTAACTACACAAACACTCGTAACTAACAGAAATTTACAAAGGTAACCCGGATGAAGGGGATTGCTGACGTAGCTAAAAATAACTGGTAAAGAAAACCCAAAACATGTCTGTTTTCTCCATAGGATTATTGCAAGCATTTGTACGTAAGGATCAAAAGCATTCATTTCTAAGACCTACACAGCCAAATACAACCCCTGCAGCTCTATGTCTGTACAAAATTTACTAATGCCAACTATAAATCTAGACCAAATATAACTAGTTACTTCTGCTTGCCTCTGATAACACAAAAGAATACTAGTTCAAAAATATATGTCATTTAAGGAAGAACAGGTCTTTTAAAAACTTTCAGATTCATTTTTAAATTTTAAATGTTCGTCTACATAACATAATGTTTCATTTCTATTTTTCCAAGTACTCAAGATTCATTCCTGAAACACATTGGTAAATTAAACATTCAAACAAACAAAAGTCACCATCCAATTGTACAGAAATAATATCTTCAAAAACTGATTTTGTCAGTCCCTATTCTGGTCAGGAACTAGGTGTATTCTTGTCTGTTCACACTCCACTATGTCTGTGCTCACTGCTGGCACCACCACCACAGTGCTGACCTGAGTAGGGAGCAGGCTTGGCAGTTATGTTGCAGGTGGGGCTTATGCGTGGGCAACCTGGCTCGCTCATTCATAATTTATGATTTGACGTGAGCCATGTCAGCCCTTCGTACAGCCCATCCCCTGTTGTGGCACATGATGGCTGCACATACCAATTACGGTCACGTATCCTGGTTAGGCCCAGTTTTTCTTGAATTTCATGAGGTTTCATAGCTGCAAAAATATGTTTTTTATTGGATTAATTCACTAATCTATTTTTGTAAACATTAACAAAATTAGATCTTCAAAAACTTTAATTAAGAAATGCATCAAAAAAATCATCATTTAAATAGTTTTACATGTGATAACTTCATTATTCTAAAAACAAAAATTAAAAACAAGGGATGTGATTTCTTAGTTCTAAAGAAAATTGTTGTTATCTCTGGCGTCATGGATAAATCTCTTCAATTGTTCAATTCATTCATTGTAGAAAACTCATTAATGTGGTTCTTTTAGACATTATTTCACTTTGAATAAAGGCCTCAAAGCAAGCAATTAATGGGGGTATTCAAGTTTTTGAGTAAATGCTCTAAAACTTTTAAAAGGTAGAAGTATTCAATCCCTAACTTAGACCTGAGCAATGAAGTTAAATATTGTCAATGAACTAAGTTGTTGTTGAACTAAATTAGAAAGTACCACAGGGCATGAAAAAAGGGGTTTAACAAGTGACAAAAAAGCAGAATGTAGGAGAAAATGGAAGTACAAGTAACTAGCCTAAAGACGGAAGTAGAAGAAGCCTAAAGATTAGTAGTGATGCTACAACTTTATTGTTTTATTTACAATGATTAGTAATATCATATTATTGCAATTTGTCTCTTAAGAAAAAAGCCTTAACTTGAAAAACTTGTCACCAAACAAAGTAGAGAAAATATATAACCAACAACATGCCTTCAATTTTAGAAATTTCAACAGTTTCAATAAAATGACATTTCTGACATCAAATTTAATATATTGATTTTTATCTTTAAAAAATATTAAAAATGGTATGTGTGATTTCATGCATAACACTTATTTCTGAAGCCACAAAAATGCCCATCACACTGCAATGGTTATTATTTACAGGTGCAGCTACAATGAATTCTTAATATTCTGGCATTCTATATATAACACCCAAGATGTAATTGTCAAAATATAAATTACTAATACTCTGAAAGAAATCTGATAATAACATGATTAAAAGATCGGATATTGAAAAAGAGATTGTATTAAAAAAATCTCTGACTTCAGCTATAATATTTATAGAGCAGAGCAGGTTCCAAAATAGTTGAACTTCTACAATATTTTAAATTTCCATGGGTTTAGCAAAAAGAGGACCCATATTATAATTATGGGCACATTTTACGTATTTCAGAAAAAACTTAGGGCCATTTTTGAAAAGATTTTCCAAAATGTGCAAGGCTAGGGGCTTCATATAAAGTACCTCCAAAAATTAAAAAACTTGTTTCGAATTCACAGGTCCTTTAGTTCATCCACATTGATTGAGAAATATCTGTTTTGAGAAAAATTGTTTACTTTAGACACTGGAGTCCTCCTAGACAATCCAACAGATGTTTATAAAAAAAGAAACAAAAGTTGTTAATAATAATAATAATAATAATAATAATAATAATAATAATAATAATAATAATAATAATAATATTTTAATAGCATTGCATAACTTTCTTTTGTTACGCACATATTTCTATATCTTGGCGTATTAGAGGGTAAAAGGAGGTTGAGAAAATCAGATCATAATAATATAAAAACAAATGTAATGGGAAAAGAAAGAAAGCAAGTATCAATTTTTCATGAATTACCATCAGGTAAGTCCTGCTTATTGGCGAAAATGAGGATAATAGCATCTCTCATCTCTCGATCATTAATGATCCGATGTAGTTCTTGACGAGCTTCATCAATGCGATCCCTATCTGCACAATCCACCACAAATATAAGTCCTTGTGTTCCAGTGTAATAATGCCGCCATAAGGGTCGTATCTTATCTTGTCCACCAACATCCTGAAATCAATAGAAGTAGAAAAAATCAATCTATTTATTTATTTATTATGGTCTACAGCAATAAAACTCATTTAGAATCAATAAAATAATCATGACTAATAGTTACTCCTCTATGACGCTACATGCTACTGTCAAATGCAAATCTTGTTTTGGTAGCTTGCACAATATTATCTTTAACATCTTATGTCATAAGTAGGGAAAGGAGTTTCATATAAATACATACAGTCAACTCCAGATAGAGTGAACTCTCGGTTATAATGAACTTAAGTCACTGATCCTAGGTTGTAGGAAATACAATGACCTGGGAATTAATTCCCTCCTAGAAAATAATATATTGTCTCAGTGCCTCAAATTCAAACACTAGGCTGCTTGAAAACACTATCGGCCAAGTGTTATTGAGTAAAAGGGCCTTCGAAGAGTGGGGCTTCCAAAAGTGCACGAGGTATAGGAGGGTGCCAAGTCTGCATTACGATAGCTCGAGACAGTGGACAATGCATACCAGTTCCCAGAAGTTCACTATCACCGAAGTCGACAGTATTTTAACAATTTTTTTCATCTATCACTAGCTACAAAGTACTAATCCACTTGAGTACTGGCTTCTCATAAATATTGTTTATACTACGAACATATTTTATATTTTGGATAAAATTCTCATGTGTGGTGAAGACCAGGCTGCAATTGCTTCTGTACAGATAGAACTTTGTTTCAACCAATCCGAATCCATTTTATGGCCTGATCCGTGACATTCTGGGCTCACAAAATGCTTGAAAATAGTAATTTTAAACATCATGAATTTTTTCATAATTTTTTTAAAACTTTTTTTGATTTTGGGAAAAATAAATACACATATAGGAAGGTATTTTGCTCCTTTGATTGCAAAATTTCCATCCCCTAGTCATAACATTATAGCCTCACTTTGTCTCTGTTATTTATCAGACATTGATTGGAAAACAAATGTGTTGTCATCTGACAAGACTATTCTCTAATGTATTCAATATAATGTATTATTGAGTGAAGATTTATCTTGCTTCATAAAGTTTAAAAACTTATTTTTAATTTGAAGGAAAGCATATAATGCACAAAACAATAACAAATCAAAAAAGGCCAGAAAAAATTAAAAAGGATTGCCTGATTGCTTTTTTTTTTTTTTTTTTTTTTTACATACACGGTAAGTACTATCAGGTAAGTCATTACATTGATTTGATATCGAATGACAAAATATCCTTCGAACCACATAATTATATGAATTACGACATGGTATCAAGTGCGCAGTAATTAAATTTTGCGTATCCCTGTAGCAAAGAAAAATTACACGCCCTTTTGCGACACAGCCACACATACGACCAACGGCCGGCAACGCTACGAAGTGGCAATCTTGCTGGGCCTAAGCGATGGCCTGGGGATTCGGAGGGAGAAAGCGAGCGCTCACGTTGACTTCGCGACATTCACATTGGCGTCAAAACAGTGTATCCAGAGGATAGGGTTGGCTGCTCCGTTCATTGATTGATTAAGTCGCGTTATCGGACACTTTAACTGCCGTGGCCATTAGTAGTCCCGTACGTGTAGTGCATGTCTTATCACGAGAGGTAGCGGTGTTCTTCCCCCGCTTGATGGTGAGAGTCCCGTCCCAGTGAGCGCAACCCAAACAAAAAACGTCGTCTGTCCCATCCTGTTCTGACCAGCCCCGCCCGCTTGTGCTCTACCAGCGCGCGCTGAGCTTCAGCTCCGGTCGTAACGATTCACGACAAACCCCTCGAGCCTGTGCAACGCACAATTTCAAATGTATCTTTATGCCAAAATACTTCTCGAGAACACACAATACGCCCCACTCTCGGACAATCACCTTATTTCAACTACGCACTGTGATCAACACCAACATTAGCACGAAGAAGTTTGAAATGATCAGTTGATCGTCGTTCATAATTTTATCCACAGTTTTGCTAACCCGCTTTTCTTCAGTTCATTAGCCTTTTTTGGACTGTAGCTGAAACCTGTACGTTATTGTGCAGCAACAAAATTTCAATTTATGTGGACAATACTTTCCATCGTAAGTCAGTGTTTTATAAGCTTTCTACTTTTCGTACATCTAGTATGCTCTCTCAATGACGATTTCATAGGTTTTAAAACGTCCGCAATTTTCCGGTCTTTTCGCAGAAATATTACAGGTAACAGAAACTCCATTTCGCTAGTTTGAAGGCAGTTTGGACTCATCCTGAATAATATATACACTAAGTTTACATTGCAAAAACAAACTTACCCAAACATTAAACTTAACATTCTTATACGTAACAGTTTCTACATTAAATCCTACAGTTGGTATCGTTGTTACTGACTGTCCTAATTTGAGTTTATATAAAATAGCTGAGAAAACATTAAGGAAAAACGAACTTTAAATCAAGATTACTGAACATGATAAAATTGATCCATAATCACACAAGATAACCAAAGAAAAGGATACTGGTTTTTCCGGCAGCATCTAAGCCTAACATCAATATTCTCATCTCCTTGTTGCCAAAAATTTTGGATAGTAACTTGCCCATCTTGCCCCAGTGTAGTTCACTAATCCTGCAACAGAAGAAAAGAAAATTATTCAGTTAAGAAATTCTTAGAAGACAAAAAAAAATAAGTACCCCAAAAGGATATTTGCCTTTGGGTACAAAAACAAAATACCATGTCAATGTTTTACCAAATTAATGTTATTAATGTATTCATTGCTATTTGAATTGTATAATTCTAAAATATTAAATATACGTGTAACATGCATTGTAATTTATGTTCTGGGTTAATGCTCGTGTCGATCTATTTTTTTCGCAGTTAACCTCTGAGCACATTCTGAGATGGCATCTAGCTTTGCTTCCGACATCTAGCTTTTGCGCGTGTTGTGGGATCCGCTTTCGCTAGACGCGTGAGGAGTGGGGGATTTAGTAAAGGCAACAGTACGACCAAATACAATATGTTCATTTGCCCGCCCACACACAGTTTCTATTACACCGGTGCGAAGTTCTTGATACCAAATGTTGCCAACAATCTTCTGTGGAGTCTTTATTCAGAATCCAAAGAGGACAGTTAAGGGAGATGGGTACGGATTCCAGAACCCAAGAAAACGTTCACAGATAGTACTTTTCCTCCAAACGTCAAATACATTTTTTCTAACTCTTAACATTAGATAAAATAAACAGAAAGCAAATACAACAATATTTATTCACAAACAATAAAGAATACGAGTTACTTAGCAAATTTTTATTATTCCTTCTTATGAAATATACAATCAGATGAATTTGCTTCTTAGGAAAGGTAAGTAATAAGAATTAGCAGTACATTGTAATCTAAATATTCGAGCAGCCACTCCGCGTTCTTGGGGGTGAGGGCAGAAACCGTGTCAATTCCTCAGAGCACGCGGTCGGACGTGAGGCGCAGGGGGCCCTGGCATTTTGCCAGAGCACCAAGGGCCCAACCTGGGGGGAGGGGGGGGGGGTCGTTCTCAGTGCGCTGGAAGGCGATTGTGGCAAGAGAAAGAGTGCAACTCAAAAAGAAGAATTGGGTGAGAGAAGTATCAAGACTGAGCTCGCATGCGGAAGTGTACACCGCGGAAGGAACAATGAAGGCCAGACGGATGTATCTTGCGACGAATTAGAATTTTAGTTGAGCGATAGTGCGAGTGGAGGTTTTGATTTCAAGGGCACACTTCGTACCATGGACAAGTCCCAATACGTACATAAATTATCAGCGACATTAAAATTGATCTGAAATTATAATGTAAAACACATAATTGCATTAACATAGATCTAAACGGGAAACAATATGACCCCCTATTTCGAATGTATAAATTGACCCGAAAGCGTTACGTAGATGCGAGACAGCAAGAAAAGCTTTGGAGACAGCGAGGTCTTAATGTCTTAAGATTTCGATTCCGATAAAAGTGATTTTTTTATATCAACCTGTCAAAGTCAATTATCGAAAGAAGGTGGACAGAAAACATAGCTTGAGTGCGAATTCAATTTTTCACGATAGGTAAATATATACATTTTTCAATTTTGTACTTTGCCTCCGTTGTACACGTTCCACTACCACTCACTGCCATTGATACAAGCTGGAAACTTCTAGACTTCTAGTTGAATAATTTTGTGAGTTGAAAGTTGCATTAGGTCGATCAGTGCTCCGAATCATTTTCAGGATCATTTCATATGAATTTTGAACACGTGAACTTCATTTAAGATAAACGATCTTATAATGAATTGTCATCTTTGAATAATGTCGTAACTTAGCACACGGTTACTCTAAAATTAAGAGATTAAAAAAAAAAAAATACAGAAAACGCACTGTTACATTAAGTAAAAACATTTTTATTATTATATCAATCATGACAGATGCACATTGTAAAACTGTAACTATTTCCTCATTCGCGATAACAATATACATGGTTCTTCAATTTAGAGTAATTCAGGAGTCCTTCAACATGTGTGCTATGAATGGGCAGCAGGTGTGTCTCCAGAAAATGGTAGTTGTCATGATTTGTAAGTTTTACTCCACCATGATTTAAAATGAGACAAAATAGTGTCATACTTAATTCACATGACGTATTTTTTATGCACTTCAAATATGTTTTTCGCATCCACATTTATTTTAGAATAATGCGGAAAATCTTAAGATATATGTAAGATTTTAAATTACACCACTCTCGGTTATATGGGCACGGATTCGTGGTGGTAAAAAACGTCCTAATACCAGCAACATCGCTGAATCACGTAAAATACGTCCTCTATCATATTTTCGCCATCTTACGTCATCGATCTGACTTGTATTCTATTCGAACAGTTTTGTTCCGATGGTGCAACGTAAAGAGTAACGCACCCGAGTGTGCGGGATTGAACCGCACGAAAGTCTTGGATTTTCGAGGTGGGAAAATAAACAAACATTTCCCAAGTCTTCTTTCGGAAGGGAAACTGTCGTAGTGGCAAATTCGCGACACACAAAATATCAAATCAACATGAACCCTTTGAGCAAAGTTCAGAATTCCCTCACCGCCCTAGTAATACCTTCTTTCGCTACCACGCGGCACTGAGTGATACATTTTCCTCCTCTCCCCCAACAACCGCTAGTACCGAGAAAGGGGCGTATCCAAATGAATGTCTGAGGTGGAAACCGCTAGATCTTCAGGAGTAGGCCAAACGCCGTAGAAACATTGCAGGGCAACAGAACGTTCCGCGTCGCGTGCAATTGAACTGGCGCGTCTTCGACCTTCTCTCCCGGCCTCGCGGCGACTGTCTAATCTCGGGAGATCGATATGAGCGGTTCGGGCCGGTTCGCGGCGGGTGCTATCCGGGGCGGCGGAATTGGAGTGACAAGCCGCCGTTGCCTTCTTCCCGCCTTTATTTAGAAGCCATTGTTGTTCCGCAGTGTTAATCGAGTTCGCTCGGTTTCCAATACCGGGAGCTTAAGAGGACAGGGGGCTGTGGATCTTCTCTCTGACATTGGTGAGAAATTAAGTGCCTTTCGAAAAGTGGCAGATTTTTTTTGTTTTAAGATGGGCTTAGACTCTCTCCTTTTCTGTAAAGTAGTATCATCACTGTGTTAATTAACTTTTATAAGAATACGATTAATTGATCAAACAGAGGAAGAAAACGTCTAAACCTTTTCTTTCTTCGAGGACTTAAAAACACAAATTATAATTAGCACCAAAGTACATATAACCAAAAAATTCTTATTTGAAATAATATTTTTTTTTATTTAGAAACGAAACAAATGTGTGATAAAATAAAATTTACAGCAGTTCTACTGAAACCGTTAGGTTTTGACCTACGTCCATTTTTAGATTCTATCAACACATTTCTTTTTGGCGAACTTTTTGGAGTTCTAGAGGCCACATTGCGCCCGTGCGCAAATCGCAGGAATCGTATGCCACAAGGAAACTTGTCAATAGGGACGAAGACAAAGAAATGTATAGAATGCCTTCAACATCGGCGTGCACAATACATTGGTAAGAAGTACAGTTTGTCGAAAACTGCTCAACAAATATTTATCTTTTGTTAATAAAACGAAACTCACGGTACTTTTGCGAACATTCGTTAGTGTGCATGGTCGAGTGCGACCAAAAACAAGTTAGTGAAGGACTCTTCCATGTCAAGTTATTGACGCTATTGCCTTGACTATCCTCGAATCGGCACAAACAACATTATAGGCAGTTGTTAAAACCGAGGAGTTTGAGTGAAACTTCATAGTATCAGTCATATTCTATAAACATTGAGAAAACACACATGTTAGAAGTCAATTATCTATCAAATTAATTTCGTGGGTGCACACATGCCCATTCCCGGGCGCGGCACCACGGGATGAATCTAACACAATATCTGGGATCACAATATTAAGAATTTTGAAGTGGAAGTCGCATATTCAAAAATTATTATTACAAAACCCGCTTTGGATACAGACTAAAGATCTGCCGTTTAGAGGCTACCAGACATTTTTTCGATCCTAATGATTTGGAAGGCTTTTCAATCTCGTTTGGTTGGTTGTTAGTGTCCGTGTGCCTCAACTACCGAGGACATTGGTTCCGTAAGTGATGGGTACGCTCCCCCCCCCCCAGAAGGCGGCTGAATTCGAACTACCTAACAAGCTAGTGTTGAAAATCTGACACTGCAGAGACATCAGTTGATGCACTGAGCCACATATCCCGATGTTCTATCTCTGACTACACTCACCATTTGTATATTTTGTTCATTATATGACCATTACCAATATCTTAAAAATTAATTAACGTGAATCATAATCCGCTGGATGAAAACATTAAAAAAATGTATTTTATAGGAATACGAAATACAGAAATTGTAGTGTTAAATGACGACGATCATAAGATAGTATGGTAAGACAGCCACGTCCCTGGCACATTGTGGAAACAACTATGTTACAGGCTCGCAGATTTCGTCTCCGCGCACTTGGGGCAACTCTGCATGCTGCTTGTGCTGCCGAGGCAGACCAGCGAAACGCAAATCTCGACTTAGGAAAAAACTCTTACTTTCAATCTCCCACGCAAGAGCCCTATACCGAGCTGCGTGCGCCGCAGCCTTAATCGGAGCGCCTGTTCAACGGAAGCCCGGATCGTAGAGCCAGCTCAGAGCGCGTACGAGAAATGGCCGGGGGAGGGGGGG